CATGGAACTGTCGAGCATGCCTCTAAACCCTAAGCAAGACGCCTGCTATTGGTCAAGGGTGGTGCACTAGAACCAAATCAGATGCTCGCTTCTCACATGCCCAAAGGAGAATTATCCCGGAAACTCTACAGCCCATTAGAAAAGAATCCCTTATTGAGCCCAAATTATCATGTACAGGTCTCATCCCATGGCGAAAGAATTCCAGCACCTCTAGGATGTTGGGAGATGAGCAAGTGGATTTAGCTCCTGTAATTGGTCCCTAGTGACCCGGACATGAATGCGTCGAGGACTCTCAAACTCTCAACCCCATGTCCCATCGTGTCTTCACTGACGACCAGGTCTAGTTAGTGCCGACTGGAACACCAATCACAAAAGACATCATGGTAACAACAGCGAGGACGTGGCCCACATGTGTGTTCTCTTCATCCGGGTCAGGATGGATGAAATACCTTGGCAGTTGCATGCTTGGCCAGAAATACCCTTGGTTGAGGCTCCCTTGCCGAAGAAGGCTACTACAGATTGAGTTGCCAATAAGGGATTTGCGGTCTGTGGGCATTTACGGCCTCACAACATGGAAGAAGAAGGCGCCCACACCCACAGCAAAGTCAACGAGTAAAATCCAGTGACGTCTCCGCGGAGCCTGAGCCCTAAGCCTTTGAGGCAACTACGGCATCTGTGTACAAAGCCGGTGGGCGCATGAGGTTTGACAAGATCACGCCAATTGCTGTGGACAAGAAAAACTGTGATGTCGTGCTAATGGTGATGGTGACGGCCGCAGCAACAACCCTCTCGCATGCAGGTATTTCCCTGGGTGCAACCGTAGCCTAGTCTACCCTGTTAGGGCATTCCTTGTCGAGGTGATGAGGTAACTTGCAATTTGGCATTCAGATTCGAGGAAGTACGTATCAGTGTACCCCCTTACCCGTCCCTCCGTAGTTCAGTAGGCAGTTTCTTAGCGGCAGACTATTGGTCACCATAATGCCGATCACAGACGATACGAGCAGCTTCGGATGACCTTGAGATGATCATCATGACACTGACTGACATCTTGAATCTTGGCGTTGTGACCATGGCAATACCACTTTCGGAATAGTAGTGGTCGCTTAGAAATCGTACTGGTAGCTTATCATCGCTATACAGGAAACGACATCATCATGGTATTTCCATGCGCTTGTCAGAAAGACCTCCACCAATGCCATACCCAACAGCGGCCGTTTGTCTTGGCTACGACAGCAAGTCACAAGCTAGACTCCCAGACCAACACCGACAAACACAACAAACCTTTGGGCCCCTTCTGGCAGCCAGGAGCACAGGTCCAACGGACCTCGGTCGTCCAGGAGGTGCCAGAAGCTGCCTGGTTGCAAGTGAGGCCAGCAGCTGACTGAACCCTGAACCCCAAGACTGAAACCAGGAGCCCTGCCCCTTTAAAGGGGGCAGACAAAGCTTTTGACTTTCAGTGTCGGCTTCAGTTTCACCAGGGTTCAACAGCACTCAGTGCACTCAGACATTGCACATCGGCGAGGCTTTCAACTTTCCTGCCAAGCCACATTGCAGGCCGCCCGCTGCCTAGCAGTCTAGTCGGGCACCAGGTTCTCACGACAAGCAACAGTGGCAGCAGTAGCGGTAGCAGCGGTACTGGGAACTAACTGCCGATCTTCCTTTCCAAGAACCAGAGTTAGACGTCGCCATAGCCACGGGAGTAGTAGCCATTGTCGTACAATTGACAACAACAGCAACAGCAGCAGTGACACTCATAATCATCATCATCACCATCATCATCATGGTGATGCTCAATAACGGCACGACACCTGCTTGGCTTGACCTCTCGTCAACACGTCAACAGTCGTTTACAGTACAGTACTGGCAGCAAGGCCAACCGTATGAGCGGTGCCTCAAAGGTTTCGCTGTGCCCTACACACCGAAATCACCAGCGAACATTCTGCTCGGAGTTCTGTCCGGGGCACGGCATGCTCCGCATCATCTTCCACCGAACAGAAATCCTGGCCAGGGCTTCTCGGATGCTGCCGTTTAACATGCTCCTACATATCCCTGCACACACTAGTTTCCTCAATCCCCAGATCCCAGCATCGGCGACAAAAATGCACAAACCTTACACCCTCAACACTGAAACCTCAACTCCAACCTAACTCTCGAACGACTAAATACAAACTTTACTTTCCAAGTCAAAGTTCAGAAGCCCGGGCCGTCAGCGTTTAGGCTTGGGTTTAGGGCCGTAAGATCTGGGGCTTGACAGATCGAAGATGCAGGAACTTGCTGTTGCCGTTTCGGGCCGAGGGTCTCAAAATAGAGGCCTTTACAATCAGCATAGGGCTTTGGGGGCGATACATTTATGCTATACTTATCTCAGGAACGCTAAGAATCAGAGGTTGTGCCCCTGTAATCAGCCCTGACGTTCGAAACCTGCCTAAAACCAAAATTCTCCGGGGAGATCCCTAAAAAGGAAAACATGCTCCCTCAAGGCGAATAGGTGGTAACAAAGTATCGAAGACCGTTGCACCTGAATGCGAGGAATTTCAAAAACTTGAAAATAATCTGCTTAGGCTTAGTTACAAACGAGTCACAGCTACGATGAGTCACCTCCAAGTTAAGTTCGCTGGGTTACTCCGGTACCGTGTTTTCTGCTACCAGTAGCCTCTGAAGGCTCCCTCTCCGCACCTCGCTGGCGTTCGCCGCTGAGCAGGAGTGTGGCGTGCAGATGCCACAGGAGAAAGGGCAGCTCTCCTTGTAGAAGTCCTCGGTAAGCCCTAAATCCCCACACTTCCGCCCGGACAATCCGTGCCAAAGTCTGAACTAGAAACCGCGAGGCCTCAAGCTCAAACCCCAAACTCCGACCCTGGAATCCCGAACCCCGAATGCAAAACATTTCCGGAAGCATCATAAACCCATTAAGAACCGCTTAACTATCCGAAAGTCAGGCTATAACGGTCGTCCATCGCGCTCCCAGTCCCCGCAGCATGCAGTCCACATGTCCTTTCCTCCCACATGATGGCAAGGCCTGCTTGGGGAGTGCAGGGTTCGGCCTAATTTGTTTTGGGGCTTCGGCCACCAAGCTGCGCCATCATCACAGCGACCTTCCAGTGACCAAGCATAGCACAGGTTGCTGGCGTCCCCACACCTCCTTCGCCACACGAAGGGCCGTCAGAGGATACTTCCTACTGGTAGCCAGGGAACCTTTTGATCCGAAGTCAGCAATGTGAACAAGTCCGACAGCCAATGCTCACATGTCCCACACTGCATTCCCAACGGGTAAGGACGGTATAACAGTATAGCACAACAAGATTGAACGCAATGTTGCATACTCCTCTATGTTGCTTCACTAAAAAATCGTCGTATTGAACTGACTATGTTGGAATCGAGAAGCCGACTCCAACATTAAAGTGCTCTAGCGAAGCAAAGTCAGGCCAGGCCGCTTAGCGGCGTGGGCGAAGGTTGCCAGCGCAAGCAGCGACCACCTGAGGCAACAGACAACAGACACGACAGTACTGGGCAGCTTAGGCCCAAGCCTAACCAGAAAGCTTCTCATAGAGTTTTCGACTACGATATTGCTTCTACATAATATTGCTTTCTGGAGGGTGGCTAGTAGTAGCACTCACAATCGTAACACTGATAACAGCTCTAAAACAAGTTTAACAAGGCGCTCATGCCCTGAAACCAATACCTCAAGCTTTAAGACGGGCGACAAAGGGTCGCATCCGGCATTTCAGCTTTGCCCTAAACCCTAAATCCAAGACCCTGAAAGCCCAAACATGGCCAAACCGCGAAGCTCTGAACTCTGAATCGCCAGGTGCGGGCAAGCTTGGCAGCACTCTGCCCCCGGCCTCGTCATCCGCCTTTCAAGCTGCTAGACGTCCACCTTCTGCTGCCTGCAGGCAAAAAAAGACATCCGTCTTTGACAAGAGGCCACTTGGGGTTTGGGGCTTGGGGGCCTCGAGGGTTCGCTTTTCAGCCTCCAGGGTCCGAGCCCCACAACCCAAGCCCTGAACCCTATAGTGTTCAGGGCTGAGGTTAGGGTGGAGTCGGGGCTTTGGAGTTTGGGTTCAGGGATTCTGCGGTTGGCTGTAGATGCTCAGCTCAGTGCATTTCGGGCTTGAGGTGGTTTCGGGCTTTGCGGCTTTACGATAGTCCGTCCGGGCCTTTTAACATTCATGGTTTACGAAAGAGTGCAACTTACGGCAAGACCTACACTGTTAGACCAAGGTTAGAGCTGCACCAAGCAAATCACTATGCACGCGGTCACTATGAGAATACTGGTATGCCGCCTTGCCAATCAGTAATATTGAACGGACCAGGACTGCCAGTGCTATGTTGATGACGAGTGCCTTGGTCAGTTCTTGTTGCTAGTATATTAGCTTTTTTGTGCTGCTAGGTTGGCATATACAGTGACACGACCTCATACCTCAAGATGGCGCATATGAATACCTTAACCACACACCTTAAACTTTCAAGCCTTAATTCTTAAACTTTCTTAACCCCATGAATACTGTGGCCCTTCCGTACCTGCGAAATTATCTCGCCGGCCGCTGCTGTAGCTCCCGTGATGCTTCCCATGGCCACATCACCGGGAGTAGAGTTGAGACTTAGGGCGTTAGTACATTGGGGTTTCGGAGTCTATAGGATTCAGAGTTATGCTCACGGATTAGGTTTTACGGCTGTAGAGTTTTGAGGGCTTCGGGGTCGGGAGGTTCATTGATTCCATGCCTATGTAGGCCCTGATCCACAAATTCCTTGCTGAGGTCCTGAGCATCTTCTACACAGTCAGGCGTCTACATGTGGTGTATCGAGGGAGCTCTCGTGCAACCAATCACGCTGAGTTGCATGTCCAGCGCATTTCTCTGCATGAGGGTATCTGCAGTATGGTCGTGGGATTTAGGATTCGACTTCGGGAACAAGACCCCCCAACCGCTCCAACCCCGAAGTCTCCAAAGCCCTGAGCCTGGAAGTGAAAGAGGCTCAGAGATCGAGTTGCTGAGCTCCCCGGCGCCTTTAGCTCGTCGAGGCGCCTGGTGCACAAAGGGTTTAACGCTTATGGCTGAAGGATTGTTAGCAGACGATGGGTTCCGCACAGCCGGCACAGATGTATACCCTGATGAAGAACCCTAAAGACCCTTACAAAAGCCTATACACCCCAGAAAAACTGCTGTAAAACGCTGTGAAATCTCCTTGAATCGCTACCAAGTGGTTTGCAGGTCCTCTCGCCGAACCACTATGCGCAAGAAAACCAGGCGATCATCGACGGATCTCGAGTACATCGCCCCTGTGGTCACATTCACGCGAATAGGACACACCGTGCCTATTGTATAGTAAGCATGGTTTGTGTATGCCTATGGGCCTGTGCAAATTTGGCCCATATCCGTGACATCCAGGAAGCACAAAGCTCGAAATCAAACACAATGTGCCTCAACGCTTCCTTGCCAGTCAGGTGTCGTGCTGCGGCCGAGAAAGCTACAACCTCTCCGGTCGCAGGGTGGATTTCGGCGGCTTGGGGCTTGGAATCTGAGGCTTCTGCTTTTGGAGACCTTTCTCGTGAATTCAGACATAAAGGGCACTCTAGCTTAGGATGCATGCAAAGGAAAAACAAGACAGACCAGTGTCGAGGCAGGGCATACCGTCATCGTTACCACTATCATCAGGAACTTCTTCATCACCGGCTGGAGCAGCAGCATCTGCTGCAATAAAAAACGACAGCAGTAACACCATCGTTGTCATCGACATCGCTATCATCATCACTATATAATCTTCCACACGGCCAGCAACATGTCATCTTCTTCCCACTGCGCTGGTGCTCCTACTCCTGCTGCAGCTGCTGCGGCTGCTGCAGCTACTACTTCCACAACTGATACTACTGCTGCTGCTGCTGCTACTGCTGCTACTTCAACTTAAGCAGCTTAAGCATCACACCAAACCACAGAGCCTACACCCTACGAACGAACCATCGATCCAGAAGCCATGTACATGTACACCCTAAACCCTTACCCCTCCACGCAAAACCTTCATCAACGTGCAGGATCTCAATATCTGTACTCTCGAGCGCCGCGTCCAAGGCCTCTTTGGGAGCCCGTTGGCCCCGCTTGGAAGCGTTCGATGCCTCGGGGGTGTGACAAAATTTCAGCAATAGGTTTCAGAGTTCTAGGTCGAGGGACTATGTTGCCGGAGTCTAAGGCTTTAGAGTTTGGGTTTGGGGCGGAGGTTCAGAGTCTTTGGGGTCAGAGCTTCGACACAAAATCCCCCGAATTGCGGAGATCCCTGATTCGTAGCCCGCCCGCCTGTCATCTTAAATCCACGGGGTCACTTGCAAATAGATTGTAGACTCCAGACAAGGGGCGAAGAGTTTAGGGCTTTGGCGGTCCACGTGGCCCCTATATATAAATATAGATAGATAGTTATATACATATATATATATATACGTAGATCCGGTACAAAGTATTCCCTATCGGGCAACCGACCTTGGAAAGCTTGGCTCGAATCCTCAGTGACCCCGGAAGGTGTCACAATTAGCTTGAAGACTGACTCGGAACGAAGCTCCAACAAATTACACGTTACTGATAGTCGATCCAGTCGATGCGAGAAGTCTGCGCAGTGGGGCTGCGCTGGTCTATATGGCGAGAGCACGAGAGTAGCAGATGCAGTATAAGGAGGCAACTTGATGTTTGGCAAGCCGCGGCGGGCAACAAGAATCCTACATACTAAGTTACTATGTCCTCAGCCATGAACCCTAAGACCCCAAACGCTGAACCAAGAGTTTCAGATTATGCACTGCTTCGCTAGCTGATCGTAGTTCGTGATTCTCTTAGGCCGTCGCTGACCTGCGAAGGGCGCTCCATCGCATCAGGAAAGCATCAAGGGCTACCAAGTCACACTTAGTCGCTCTTTGTTTCCACAACCCCCGGACTGCTGCTTAGGGTGGAACCGCAATGCCTCGGGTTTAGGGAGACGGTAGTACATGATTAAGGGTCTCTTTTGAATGAATGCCGCAAGGAATCATGTGGGGGATGGTGTCGATCCGTGAACTCCGGCAAACACATGACATCCCAAATGGCACTGAACGAGACTTGGCCTTTTCCTTAAACTCCCCTCACAGCAGTTTTTGGCGACCCCAGACCACAGCAGATGCTGGCAGGGTGATGTTGACGAATCAACTAATAAATTAAGCAAGCAAAAACGAATGAATCAAATAATTCAACTACTTAACATGAGCTAGCCAGTTAATTATCTAAGTAATTAAATATGTGTATGCACATACACACACACACACATATAGTATAATATATACTGCAGCCAAAGCTTGAAAACTTGGAACACGAACTGTAGCCTCCAAAACAAGAAGAACTGAAGACTCGAACCCGCTGGTCCAGGCAGCAACAAATTAATCCCAAGCACCTCAAACCCAAACAAAAACCTACAGCCCAAACGCCAAGACCTTGCTTTTGATGTCGAGGCCGACGAAATGCAGTTGTCCCTTCTGCCTGTACAGCCTGGCAAACCTCAGGCCACCGAGCTCTTCCGCCATCCGGCTCTGAACAAACCATTCTGGAGAAGGGTCTAAGGATCCGAATGTCAGGGCTCTTGGGCGTAAAAGCCACACAATGCACGGTCTTCGGGTTAAGTTGTCACAGCTTTCCAGCTTCTATCTTCTATCTTATGGTACCACCTCTAATCGATGATGTTGATGTTGGGATTGATATTTATACAATAGGGAAGGCTGTTGCACTTTCAACGGAAGGTTCCTTATCTGAGACAAGGAGCGCCCACTTTTCAAACCCAGACGGTGCATAGAAGAGCGTACTAGAAGTCAAGCGGAGTAGAACAGCCGCAGCCACAAACCTCAACAAACTAGAAGAACCCCACGAAATCTTTTTATCTATAGAATCTGATGTAGTTCCCGTTTTAGTTTGCCAGCTGTAGGGCCAGGACTTCAACATCAACAAGCATGCTAGCCAATTAAATTACATCGGAGTCTCTCGGTAGGGTCTGGGCTTCTACAAACAGAGTTTGCTCTGTAGGTTTATGGTGTAAGCTTAGAGTTCAGGATTTCCTGTCTGCGTATCTTATCTCTGTAAAATCCCCAACCAGCTAGCGTGCACTTGCTCCTACTTTCCTAGAAACGCCGGAAACGTGGTACTGTGGGCTGCTGCGCCCTTTGGTCCCTAACGCCTCAAAGCATAGATCCCTGGAGCCCCGCCGGGATTGGGTGGACTTCGCAGGAAAACGTGTCGAGACTTAGGTTTCGCGTGTAAGATAAGGATAGGGTTAAGGTTTAGGGTCCTTCTGATCGGCACACTATTACTTAATTCGGGTACATATCGGTCCAGACTCCCGAACCGCTGGTTTCACCTAGGATTCCCTCCTGGCTGAATGAGTATCTAAATTTCCCGTTGGCTGGCCAGTCAGAGCTTCCAGCGGAAGAACATGTTACATAAGTGCTGCGGACTGACAGCAGCAACAGCTGTACATAAAGACAGACATGCAGGCGCGAGATTAAGGTTCTGCTTTCGCAAGGGGGGACTCGCAAGGTCACGTCACGGACACAGACATCGTGACTCTCAAGCCCGGGACTGTATATTAAGGGTTTAGGGTCGATGTTTTCGGCATATTATATCATATTATAGAGTTTAGGGTTGAACGATTCAGGGCTACCTGGACACCTAAAGGATGCAGCAACAAGGTATACAAGTGCCCATTGCTAAGCGGGAGGCAGCTTCGGCATTGGAAGAGCTGCACTGGCGTGAAGCTTTGTCCCAGATATCACTCAGCTGTCCAAGATACGTCTCTTTAAAGCCCCCAGCGGACAAAACCAAAACACACACACAGACACCCCCCAAACGCTCTGCAATCGACAGACAAATGAAATAGAACAAAACCCGGAACCGTACGTGGCTGTAGGCTGCGCGATCCCGGCGACAAATGGAACCCACTAGGAAAACAACACCCAGAACACACGCTGTCCAGTATCCAAACGAAGCCCAGACAAAGTCTACATCGTGAACGTCAGGAACCTGCGATTGAGTAATAAGGACATCATTCCGGAAACCCCAGATCTGTGAGAGCCTGGGTTTAAGTGCCTCTGGCGTCTTGAAACAAGTCTAGGTCTAGGTATGAAGGAAGTTAGCTGAAGCCGAAACGTTTAATCATCTAGCCTACATGGCCCTGACTCCCAAAAGCATATAACTACTAAACTTGTCACGTAGCCTTAAGCTTCATCCGCGCAACGCAGATCTTCGAGCCAAAGCGCTCATGACTGCTCAGTGGCAGCCTCCTCCCCTCCGCGCAGGATTGACAAAGGCCTTAGCGCCGGATCATCTCAAGAAGGAGTGCAAACTAAGGGCTGCATAGAACCAAAGAGCCAATCATGTTTAGCTGGATTTAGGATGGTTTAAGAGGGCCTTCGCATAGCAGAGCTCCCCAGCGCGGATCCTACTATGTTGAGGTCTAGAGTCTACAGTATAGGCCTAATTTCTCAACCTGGCAAATCTGTGCAGCGTCGATGGCAGCGTCCACTGGGTCCACAGAGAATAAACTCAAATTACGTAGCGATCATCTAGACTCATCGAAAGGGCCCTACACCCCCAATCGGCTTCTTCAAGTATTTCTCGAAAAAGCAGAGTCCCTTGCAATGGTCCCGATGTACCAAACCATGCACTGAACTCCAGCTTCGTCCTTCCTAAGTTGTCTCATGAGTCACGGATGCTTATACGCAAGATGGCAGCTATCATCACCATATCTACAGCTACAAATTAGACACTTATGTAGCCACATAGTTGTGCTGCATAGCCCATGAAGAAATTGAAGAAACACAAAGCAGAATGTGACCAAGACCGGCGGGCACTTTCCTTACAACAAACGAGACAGAAACTGCAACGACCCTGTAAACTGACACTACCATATCCTACTGCATGCCGTACCGGCAAAAATTGCGGCACTAGTAGTTCCCAGCACGCCCCAGCAATGACTAAATGGAAACTGCAGCTGCGCTCTTGCTTCTCGCAGGTTTCGTCAACAGAATCGCGGTTCCCTACGAAGTAAAGAGGATCTTGTGCTGCGTTCCATCGATCACGCAGAATAGCTTTTGTCGAAAGCCTTCCAAGCATCTAAATGACTCAGAATACATCACCCAGACCCTGCACTAAGCCGCCTAGGCTCCCGAATATGAAATCGATCTGTTATAAACACCTCAGCACAGCCCAAGCCAGTTGTATCTTATGTAGACACTGATTCGTTGCAACAAAGGTAACTCTTCCAGGGCGAGGGCAACCACCGCGTGGCCAGGCTCACCGGGCTGTAGACAAGACCAGAGACGCTGGAAACAGCCTCAAGAGGGTTTAGGGTTTGGGGTTTTGTGCTTGTTGGTTTACGGTTCGGGGATTGAAGGTTTAGCCGGCAAGGACTGATTCATAGCGCTCGGGACATATTAAGGTTGGGGGGTTTGCGGCGTTAGGATTTGCAGTGGCAGATTCTCGGCAGTATAGGCATGGACCACCACGCATGGCTCTTTGGTAGAAGCGGGATACGGGAAACACGAGACTCGCAGTTTCGGTCGCAGAAACGACATGTGCAACCGAACCCTGAACTTGTCTCGCAGAAACTCTCGGACTCCAGGCCTCGAACACCCCAATATTTCTCTGAAATGGTGAAAACTGTAAGCTTGCTGCGTCCCTAAGACACCCTCTCCTCCAAACCCACGCCGCAAATCTTGAAGACCCAAATTTCAATGATACAGCCCTGCGTCGCTTTAGGGGACCGTCATGCTGCACACGAAGTCTTCCTGGGGACTTTGGGTTTTGAGTCGTTAGGGATTACTTAACGGGGGCCTAAACCCTAAACCCTAAACCCTGAACCCCTAACCCCTATAAACTCTAAACCCTGGACCCCTAAACCCCTAAAAACCCTAAACCCTCACAAGCTCTCAATGTTGGCGAGATGCCGCCGCAGCAGGGCCTTCAGCCAGGCTCGAGCTCATGACACCCAGCGCATCGCCTTTGAGGATCCAAGCTGGGTTGGGGTTTCGGCTTCTACACCAGGAGGATTCGATGAAGCAGGGCTTTTTTGGTTTAGCTGTTTTTGTAAAAGGCTCAGGATTCAACGATTCGGGATAAAGGTAGCAACAAGAAGCGGTCACGAAACCCAGCACAACGCCTGTGGAAGTAGTAGAAACAAGGGGCGGGAACGCTTTAAGATGCGCATTCAAACAGCAGGCTTCCCGGACCGCTGTGGTCCTGCTCCTTGCGGTTGAGGGGTTTAGTTTGTGGGTTTTGGGGGGTCTGTCGGTGATGTCGGGCTGAAGATGTCGAGATTTGGTTGAGGGACTTCAAGCTCCCTTAGGTGTTTCGGGCTGGGGGTTTAGGTGAAAGTCAGGTTATGGTGTACAGAACACCGGTTGAGGATAAACTGATCCACGGACCAGTACCTCAGACCAAAACTGTACACAAAACACCAGAACGAAAAACCCACGCCGAACCCTCACCCCAAAGACACGGCCACAACACAGGTTTCGGGACTTGCTTGAGATGGGTGGCATCCTCTGGCCACGACATCGGGATGGGAGTTGCAGGTTAAAGTTTGCGGCAAGGAGAAGCCATGCTATGCAACCTTGCCAGGGTTCCTCGTAGACTGTAAGGTTGCAGGTTGGAATAACTATCTGTACCCTAACCGAGGCTTGAGATATGTATTGCGAGTCACGACAGGCTGCATGGCAGCCGCCCCGAAGACCCAGCGAACGGTATTCGGCGACGTGTCTGGCAGCGGCACTCATGACGAAAGGAAAAACTTGGTGTGGGGAGTACTTTGCAGGCATTTGGGGCTTCGAAGCTGGTGTAGTAAAACTCTAACTTTTGGTATTAGCGGGTGACTGCCAGGTAGGGAGCAATGTAGCCTCGGCTAGTTTCGCAAAGTGGGATTTGAAGATGCTCATGCTTCTAGCCGCAATGGCCGAAGGCTAAAGTGATCGTGCGAATCCTGCACGCATATATTCACAGGAAAATCTGAACCACCAAGTCTTTCAAGTCATCGGCAGTCGTGCGGTGCCTGGCGGAGATCGCGATGCACTCTACCGAACGTCCAGAGGAGGAGCGTAGCAAGTCAACCTCCACAGCATCGTAGGAAGACCGCCGCCACTAGGTGTCGAAACAAGACTATTAAAGCTAGCTGAACATGGCGGCCAAGAAACAAACACAGACCTGTCAAGAACCCGATGAAGTCATACTGGTGTGTCTTGGGAAGCATCCACGAGGAGACGTTAGGAGTTCTTCGAATCTTCTGTGACTCGGGGGGGCTTCTTTGCTGTCTCAGCTTCGGGGAAAAGGATTTGATAATTGTTTTTGGGGCTAGGTGCGTGTGTGTACTGTGGTGGCTTCTTTAGCCAGGTGAGAGAGGCTATAATGCGCTTTTTGGTTGGCTTATTCATTCCCTGCCAATTTTGAAGGCGGATCTATTACATGTTTTTCTTGGCCTGCTGATTTTAGTGTTCCGTTTCTTCCTTTCTGCAATGGTCAGTCTGAAGGCACTCACAACTTTTCCCCTCTTAAGCCCGAAACTCTACTAAACCTCAAATCCTGCAAACACTCAAACCGTGGCCCCCAACCCCGAATCTCGCTCCAAACCTTAAACTTGACCCCCCTAAAACCCTAGACTTCAACCCCCCCAAACCCTATCTTGTTTATCTGCCAAATTACTTAGCTAGTACGCCTCTAAAACCCTTTCTTCGGACTGAGAACAGCAACCTGAAGCTTTCAAAGGCTCTCTAAAGGGTTTTAGCTCGGGTTTCAGGTGGGGCTTGCCTGAGGAACGGCAAACTTCAACTTTCCGTCAGCTCGAAGAAGTTTTTATTCAAAGGCCAGCGAAACCTACCGAACCCTCCTCAACCCTTCTACCTAAGCACCGAAACCTTTTGAACCCCCCTGAACCTGTCTACTTAAGCCCCGCAAGCACCAAATCAACAGAAGCCCCCACGAAACCCGCCTATTTAATCCCAAAAAGAAACGACGTGTAATCCTGAAAGGCTGCTGACTACCCATGAAGATGCTCTGCACAGGCGATCGAAGGAGGGCTTGTCGCAAGGCAGCCTTGTTGTGGCCCGTAGTGTTCAGCCAAGTGCTGACAGCGAGGGTCAGCCTTCAGGTGGAGATGGAAGCAGAGTCATTGTGAGTGCAGTAACTACCGCTACAATCCGTGATGCCCTCAGTTAGGGCCCTTATAAGCCTGCACACTTCCAGCTACCAGCTCTAAACAAGCTTCTGGAAGCTTTGGGGGCCGCTAAAAGGCTCCAAAGCAGCTTCTGAAGTTAGTGGTGGCTCCAAGACACTTCTGGGGCGTTTGGAGGCCTTTAAACAAGCTGAAGGCTGTGGGCTGTGGGGGCCTCTGTCTGGATCCCGACTCTTATTACGAAGGCTGGGGCTCACATCCTGGGGGGGGGGGCGGGGGCGGGGCCTTTCTTCATATGAAGAAGGACGGCTGGCTTGAGAAACGTTAGCAGAAGCCCGAAGACTGAACTTCGTACACGTCAAGTCTCACGAACATCCGTGAAATGTAAAGCAGTTTTCACACCCAAATGCCTGGTCGACTCCACGAGGGCCGACCGCTGACCAGCAAGGACCTTCCGCGCTCGAGGTCTTGTCAAGGCTCTTGTGACGTATGGCGTGCGAGAGAATGCAGAACACACCACGGTCTCATGCGAAACGTTCGATTCATGAACTTTTTGAAGATCGCTTGAAGAATCTGGGCGACGAGACCTCCTCTAAAGCTCCGAAAGCACCGGGGCCACCCGTTAAAAGAGCTGTCCTGCAGCACAGGGTTTTGGTGGTTCTAAGGTTTGGAGCCTTCGGGCTTCGGGGTCTTGGAGTGTAGAGCTTTCAGCGTGTAGGGTGATGCTTATTATCGATCGGCCGCAATACCATTTCTGGCTGAACTTGGCTTTTCCAAAGCTGTGGTTTAGGGTGAGGTTACAGGTGCACAGAATGTTAAAGGCTTGCTGCTGGCGTTTCGAGGCAGGCTTTGAGGCTGCGACGGTTACAGCAACGTTCATTTAGGGTTTGCTCAGGGGAGTATGTATCTTGTTAATTGGTTTTTTGCTCTACCATCGACCAGTATGTGGCAACTACATTCAGCATAAGTGAGGGTACCATGACCCTTTTGTCAAGCAACTCGCAAACAGTGCCTGAAGAGGCCACCAAAAACAAGATTCTATTTGAGCAGGAGCGAGCGTCTACTTGCCATCCCTGTAAGAAACAATGCGGACTGCGAGACAGGCTTACTACGGATTACTAGGCTTTCATATCAGGGATGTGGACCCGCTGCTAGCAAACCTGAGCGACTAAGCCAGAAGGCGCAGACCCAAACGTGCTTGACTCGGGCCTTATCACCATCAAAGAATTCTTGGGTTACCTGATTTCGTTACAAGCTACTTAGCATGAGACTCGTCAACAAAACACTAAGTACGATCTGTGAATTTCCGAATCGAACTAGATCTGAGAACCCCTGGAACAGCCCGAGACGGTTCAGAAGGCTTCTAAGACCAAATATTCTGACTTCTAGGCTCCTTTTCACACTAGCTGCTGCAGGATCCGATATGGAATAAGCCTCCCAATGTCCTGAGAGCTTCCAGACCAGGCGGCTGGCCGCTGGAGAGCACTTTGCGAGAAACGACGTCAGAGACGCGCGGCGAGACTCGCGCAATGATCCCAATGTTGACCTTTCTGGACTGAAGGTCGGGCTGCACGACTGGGATATGGGTGACTATTTGCATCCAGATGAGGATACAGACTTGACTAGCATCAACACAGGGATGCCGATGCGCGGGCATACGGAGAAGGGGGACAAGGATGTCAAGTATACTGATGGTGGTGATCTTGATGACCACGGACCCCTTTGCACCATCAGACCACCGTGTAAATCCCGGGTAGCTCGGGCTTTGGGTCCAAGGTTTTGGGATTCGCAAATCAAGCCGTGGCGGGGGACCACAATAAATCGACCAACAAAGTCAAGCCAAGCTGCCATGGTAGCCCATGTGTGAGCCCGGCGTAGGAGCTTCTGCCGCCGTGTCTTGGAGTTCTCTCTCTCGGCGCGGAGCATGTCTTCCAGCTCCTGCAGCAGAAAGGCGGTCCAGCATCGCCGAGAATGAAATCGGACAGCACTGCAAAGGCCCGCATAAACCACGACCGCTCACCCCTGCTCCGTTTCTCGGGCTGTACAAAGCCCATAGCGGGAAAAGATGCCATGGGTCGGATAGAACAAATTCGAACATATTCCCATAATGCTGGGGCACGCTTGCCCTGAGTTCTGTTAGACATATAGGGTGACATAGGGTTCAGAGCTTCAACATGGGTTGCAATGCCTTGTGCCGCTTGGGCTGGTAGAGTTCATATACGGTTATAGGGGCCAAGCATTCGAGTAGGTCGAGGTAGTTTTGGGTTTTGGCTTCAGGGTTTTAGAATTAGGCAGCTTGAGGTCAAAAGGGTATGGGGTTGTAGCATTTGTTGAAGATGGGGGTCAAAGCAGCTGGGGGCAACCGATGCTTAGTTGCCTCATGCTCATCCCGCATGATTGCCGCAAACATCTGCCCGTAACAGCGTCGTCTCCCCTCTTGCCTAAGGTCCTATAGACTAAGCTCTTCGAACCGCGATAGTTCACATATTAAACTGCAAACATCAAGCCCGGAAACGATTGAACTTACATTGTTAAACCCATCCTAAACCCTTAGGCCCACATACGCCTGAAAAAGGTTACAACTCCCACAGCCTGATGCTCTCAAGCCGCTCTCAAGGCTCAAGTATAGCCCTTATGAAACCTCAAGATACCTAAATCCATCATGAAATCCAGAATGCTTCGTCAAAGTGGCCCGGGCGTAATTTGGATCTCGGAGAGCTCGTTGGAGCACCTCGCGCGGGTCTACAATACAGGCCTTATTGGGCTTATTTATATGGTTGTGTATGGTTTTGTACGGTGGATAAACTGATACAGGATGTAAGAGTTTGGGGTTTCTGGGTAGGACTTATAAGGGTCAGGGCATCATGGCCTAAACTTGCCACGCTCCTCGAGACTAGCGCTGGAACCCCATATACCTCCGCTTCAAGAGACGATGATGTGCTTACCACATTCCATGTTTGCTTTAAGGACGGACGGTCAACCGAACAGACCAACAAAAACCAAAATCCTGTAAACTCTCGGCCCTGAGCCCACACCAATATCAGCCAAAATCGAAATGCACACTTAGAGCCCCACACCCCGGAAGCCCAACGCCCGTAACCTCCAGGGCGGTGGCGGCGCCGTCCGGACCGCGACAGGCTCCGGTCCTCTCTGAATTTGGTGCTTTCGAGCCTTAGCGTGTCCTAAAATTACCTTTAGCCCCAGTGACTGCCCAGGGCCTAAATCGCAAAAACGCTGTAAACTGACAGACTGGAACCTTGATCGTCCCAAACACCCTACATGAGCTACTCTCACCATTACCCCGAAACCAAAAGAGACAATGATTCCCTAACAAATGCAACAACAGACGTACAAGCCCGTATTTCCGTCCTTATCAAGTCAAGGCCCTAGCATCCCCTACACTGGCTGGAAATTTCGGAGGAGGCAGGGCTTTGATTGCCAGTATCCCCGGAATGAAACCCCAAAATCTACACTCACCAGTATCCAGACGCAGCCCCATATATTCCCTGCCCAAAGGCATCCAAACCCCCCTTCATCTGGGAGTTTCCGAAAATAGGGGACCCTAATATAGTACCCTAAATAGTAGGATCCTTATTGTAAGGACCCCTAAATAGGGTACCCTAATTTCCGGAAACTCCCATCTGTACCATGGCCTCACCAGCTCCGCTGATGTCTGCAGAGCCGCCGAAGCGGCGCCTGCGCCCACGGCACCCGCAGAGGCCAAAGCAGCCACAGCCGCCAGCGGCCTTTGGGGCTTTCAGAGTGTTTGTCAAAAAGGGGTTTAATTAGAGTTCTTTTTTAAGGGTTTAGAGCTTAGGGCTTAGGGCTTTAGGTTTTACATGGGGTTTGAGGGATTGAGCCCCATAGGACTCACAACCCGCAACCTTTCCCACAAGTATAGCCCAAGGGACAGGGAAAAGAGGGCGCAAAGCGTGGACGCACTTGTGAAGAAGCCTCAGCTGGATTCAGGATCTTGAAGCCTGCTTAGATCAAGATTTCTTGGGGGTGATCGGGCTTAGGTTTAGGTTTAGGGTATGCAGGGCCCATGGGGCTGAGGGTTTAGGGTTGTTTTCAACTTGATTTCTTTTCTTCTTCTGCTGGCATGAACGCTGCACGATTATATCTAGCAAAACCCGAACTCTTCAAATGAAAGAGCTTCAACAAAAATGGACCCTCAACAGACGCCCAGAAATGCCGAATCTCTGGTGATTTATCGGAGATCCTGGTAGCTGTGGCTGGGACTGATGCCGGCTTCGTGTCTATAGACTGCAGTTTAGGGCCTCAGTCTAGCGGTTAGGGCTAAAAGGTTTCTGGGGTTAGGGTTTATGGGGCTTCATTGCTTCTTCGGGGCTCAGGATTTCGGAAGTTGCTGGTGAAAGAAACCTCCTTGGGAGAATTTAGTGTTTAGGGCCTATAATTAGGGCTTACAGTCAGGCGGCAACTTTCTATGCGAATCTTTAAGGTCACAAGAATGAATAATACCGAACGGATCAACGGCTAAATTACCGACTAGCCGCCTTGCGGTGGCACGTGCCTTCATGTACCGACATTTTATTGCACACTCCAGGTCGTCTTCGTCTGATGGAGGCACCTCCAAAGACAAAACCAATCAGACCCGAACCCCTCGCCTCAAGCCAACAACCCATAAAGCTCTTGCACCATCAGTATATAAACAACAGGCGGAGTGCCTGAAGGAGTGACCACGTAGCTCACCGCTTGTGCTAGCGGCGGGCGAACGACGCACCAGGTGGTCTGTACCTTATCGACGAAATCTGGCTTCAGGTTTTCGGGTGTTTTCAAGGTGTTAGCAAGGTTTGTGCTTGGGTTGTTTCGGTTTATATAGATATGTTTATGTAATTGTGGTAAGCCCATGATCTAATATCTTCTTATATGCTCTCAAGAAGTACAGACACGGTTCAGGGCCCGCCTTGTGATTGCGACGACAGAAGCTACACCATATACCATAAAGCCGTAACCCCCACAACCCTAAAACCGAAAGCCCTAAATCTTCCTAAAACCAAAAACCCTTAAAAGAAAGCTTGCGCTTATGCCGCTAAAAGTTACAGATTGACGCACTCCGAAGGCTGTGGCACGGAAGGTTGTTGCCACAGAGGCCTGCCAGGAACCGCTGCAAGCAAGTACGCTGAGGGAATTGAGGCATGTGGCAACACCCAAAAGGGTTGCTCCAGGTTTTCTAGGGTGACCAAAAAAATTGATCAGGGGTTTCAACTGGGTGTCATAAGGCTGGAAAGGTTCAGGCTTTAGGGCTTCAAGGTTTTACAGATACGGTATTTAGCTCAAAGTATTGTCAGGGCGGTGAATGCGGCAAATTTCATTTTGCGACGTTCAGGGAGTAAAGTAGTCAGGGCTGATGAAACTATTTACGGTCTACGGCCTGCGGCATTTCGGAGGTAGAGGGTTTATGGTTTAGTGCTCTGGTTCTATACTACGCGTAGATGCATGGTATACGTACACATCTACGGATGTAGCCATCGTGTGGAGACATCAACGATACATAAGCTCGGCGACAGTGCGTAGGACGTAAACCTACATAGATGAGCGAGCACATGCATGTGGTGTGCTGTATGCATCACCTCGAGAAGAATCCGTCGTCCATAGAAAACTAATACCGTGGAGCTCAACCGTCTCCGCCCAGCCTTCGACACTTCCTACTGGTAGTGGGTTTAATCCGAAAACTGCGCCAAAGGGCCGCACCCCAACGAACGACCGAACTCCCACAACTTGAGCCGGGCACTGGCCCCAGCTGCCTCCGGTGCTACAACCAAAGTTACCAGAGCAAAACACAAGGCATCTCATCCCTCAAAGCACGAGGTAAACGCAAGCCGGAAAACAGTTTATAGAGTTCAGTGTTTCAGGGTTTTGGGCCTTGGGATATGATTTTAGATTCAGGTGCATCGATCAGCTGAGAGATTCTCCATTTTCGCAGTCTTCTGTAACACCAGAAAACAACTCTCGTCTGAACCAAGGTCGTCCTTGTGAAACCTCGGCACTACTAAAACAGAAACCACCACAGATTGCAAAGCCTACTCTGATGTAACCTAATCTTGTCCTGCATTCTTGGCTCGTCAGAAGAACAAGCCTGTCCGGCCGAGACGGCGAAGTTGCCAGCCCGGCCAGCGGCGCTGCCTCCAGAAGGTTCTCGCCACTTCGGGATTCTCCATGATTCTCCTAAGCTTAGGCTATACCTGAAACTCACACTCGTGCTCAATCGGGTTCTTCATCGGGTATGTCGGGACTCCAAACCCTAATTACTTCGGGGCTTGAGTGTACTTAAACCCTGCTACCTATTTAGTAAGGGCACCTGGTTCGAGATCCTCCTAAGATGAAGATCTTACAACGTCACGGTGTACTGTGCGAGGCGCCCGTGGTCTGCTCCCTCTTTGGGGCTTCAGAGCTTCTCTTGGCCTGAGTCATTAAGGGTTGCAGCTTTAAGGCTTAGGCTTCGGAACGTGCCGAAGTGTCCCCTGCATGACAATAGTCTCACAAAGCCCTCCTCCAGTATACGGAGGGGCCAGACCCTTCCTGCGCTACGAAGAAGTTGGCTTCTGACTCGTGGAGACACAACCTTCAGGTAAATCCACTGGACCTTGAACGGTCATAGTTGATAATACTTATCGTGCTCTGCGGCGGCTGCTCCTCCCTACTTCTTCTTCTCAGTCTCAGGAGTAGTCTCAGGTCATCCCCGTGATCAGCAGTAATATGTGGTAACATCAAGCTGTCGCATCAGTGATGAGATAATGGGAGGACAGAAATGAGACAAGTAGGGTCAGATAGGCATACAGCCACCTACTACTCAACCTCAATGCGTCTTCTCGTCCTGCCCAAACCCCAAACCCTCGAACCACCAAAGCTTTCAATCCCAATCGCAGAAACCTAAGCCCCACCAAACATTGAGCCCGGCTCAACCCAAACCCCAGATTCAACACAGAAGCAGCCTGCTGCGTTGAGTGCCACACGACCTGCTGCATTGGCAGCCGAGTGGATCAGCCTGCTTGGAGCCTGGGCTGGGATGTGCTGAAAGTTGGAGGGCAAAGGAGGGCAGCAAGCCAAAATACCAGACAATTCAGGCTTGGGGTCGGCTTCGCCAGGACCCCTACATTTTGGGGGGAAGACCTCCTGCATTTTGCAATGATTTCTCTGCATGCCTACTTAGTAGATGGGTCCTAAGTAAGGTAACCACTTCTAGCTCCGAAAGAAAGTCAGCTCTAACCCTACTTGAAGAAGCCACTGCTCAATTTCTGCTTTAGGTTTCAGGATTGTGGCAAGCTTCATTCATGCTGCACGAGACGGCTTTAAGAGAGGGTACCTTTTCCAGGCTTCTTGGTAGAATATATGATGCAACTAAGTATCTTCATGGGAACGCTAAGTTAGAAGAACTTCATGAGATGATTGAGACCTATGCCGTCAGACAGCCTGCAGCAGCCGCCGTGCCGTCGGCTGTCCTCGGCCTGCACAACTCCCCTCCCAACTGCTGCTTGTTAACAGAGATTTGATTGAGAGTTCAAACATTCATGCTACTGATGTTAGCAACAATGACTAAGGTAAGGTTAACCAAAATCATCGCAGCAGCCACAGCAGCACAACCATGATCATAGTGAGAGCACTAGGAGCATTGTGGGTAGTCAATAAAATCAATATAATGAAACTCGCAATTTCTTGCTGCTGCATTCATAACAGCCACGTGCTCGCATTCTGCATCCAGGGTCTCTCTCAGAGAAACAGGAGAGGTTGCACTGGGGAAGAACCATGGAGATGATAGGCGTTGTCGGGCGTTGGGCTCAAGCCAAGGGATCCCCATTCCCTCAGCAGTCAACTCCCGAATTCCTTTATACACAGTCCTGAAGCTTGAAACCGTCAAGACCGGGTTCCAAGCCGGGATCCTATCCCAGAAGAAGCCGCGCAAAACGGAAGTCGTGAAGCTCGAACAGTGGGCCAATACAAGACTACTGACTAGTGCATCCCCTCACGAACCTCTTAGACACTTCATATTCCGTGTGACTTTCTGCATGGTGGCAGCACAGCTAGGCATCAAAGGCCGCCTTTGTTTTCGATGATCTAAATGTCTCAATCCCTGCCTCTATCCTCAAGCGAAATCGCTGTGCTGGAAGGCCTTGCAGCCTGCGCCAGCTTGCAAGGTTGTTTGAGACCAGTCGGCCATACTGTGACCAACAAACGATCCTGGCTGGAAACGATGCTGCTGCTAATGCTTGCGATGATGAACCTGCGGCAGTTCATGGTGCTTTGGCGATGAATGTGAGATTGGTGATGAGAGTTCAAGCTCGGAACAAGGCTACGAGCAAAGAAGACGATAACCATGATGAAAACGACGAGGACAACTGCTGCTGGCATGGTGATGACGCCGAGGATCGCTGTCGTCTTCGAATGCTGGTGGAAATGACGAGATCGTTGGTCTTGTGATCGGACATCGCGAGTGGACGACGCAGCTTCTGTGTCTGAGGTGGCAGAAGCCTCGACTTCCGCACCGGGGCTTTTACGAGTTGGTTATTCAGGGCATCCATAGCTCCCGCACAAAAGCCGGAAAAGACAGCCCAGTCCCTGACAAACCAAGGCAAGCCAAGCCAACACCAGCTGCAACTAGCATGAAAACAGCGGGTGGCGAAAATACTGCCATCAAGAATGATTATGAAGCATAGTCACAACAAGGAACAAAGAAAAAACCGACCCTCTGCAGCTGTAAACCCCTAACTGAGCTAAACCCTACTACAACCCTGGAGCCCCATGCCCGAAATTCGAAAACCCGAAACGGGTGAGGTTTGCTCGTACACGGCACCATGGCCACCGAACTAGTCCCAGGAGCCCAATCTCACCGGGTTTAGTGGAAAGTTTGAGGCTTCATAGGGGTTGCCTAAAGGCTTTAGGGCCTCAAGGTGTTGTTCAGGGTTGTTCTAGGTGAGGGGAGTTGCAGAAACTGAGGGACCCAATACAGACCCCGCGTACCAGGACTGCTAGGATCCGGACCCCCAACCAAATTTCAAAAGCCGAGTATCCTTGTGGCATGTGGTCATGGTTTATGGGGAGCCCCAGAAACATGTATCCCACGACCCCTGTTTAAGCATGCCAATGTCTATAAATGTCTGTGTATCCCGCCGGAAAGCTTATGGTTGGGTGATTCACTGAAATACGAACCTGCAACTCCTGGCCCCAACCCGCAGGTAGTTACATGCTGGATCCTGAATGTAGTGGCATCCCCTGGAATGCCTCAAGCCGCTCCTCGATGCGAGACAAGGCGGCCTGGAACGAAGTCTTGGACCATCAAATCATGCACTCAGGAGAGTTTGGGGTTTCGCGTTTTGAAATGTTTTGAGCTTAGGGTTCAGGTCTTCAGGCGCGTAAAAGTAAGAGCCATGGAAGAAAGATATGGTGCTGTTGGAGGAGAGCTTACCGTTCTGATCGCAACGGACCGGTATACGCCAAATTGGGCCTGGCCTAAGGATGTGCCCCGAAGGGAATGTATGTTGGAGTTGTAGCCAAGGCACTACAGTAGAGATTGTCGTCCGGATTGCATGAGGGATTATACAGATTCTGAACGAAACATGAATCCGCCGTATTGAACTGCAACCCTACACGGCCTAGATGATTCAAGATACCAGGACTAAGTTGCGCGTGAAATCTTGAACCTTGAAATGATATCATAACGGCCTGAGCAAGTAGTAATTATACTCCTTTACAATGTCACACCCGAATTATTCCGGCCACTATATGTCCAACCACACACACACAGGTAAGCATGTGTGTGCGAGGGGAGAGAGAGAGAGAGAGAGAGGACATATATGCATATAAAGATGGATAGGTAGATAATGACAAAAAGCAGCTACAGGCCTCAATCTCTGTAACGCTGAGCAGCAGCTCGCTGTAGAAGTCGGCAGTGGTTTCAGCTTGGTCAAAGACCTCATCTACTCCAACTCTGCCGATCTCTGTCGATAACGCACACACGCACATGCAAAGAAGCAAGTTGCAACACCACCACTGAGCATCTGCAGGAGTGGTCATGCCAATGTGTCCTTCCATAATCTCAATGTAAGAGGGCTCCGTCGACACTACATCCTGACCTGGAGAAATACCACTTGTCGTCCCAAAACCCTGTCCGGTTTAGGAGCTTGGCTTGAAAAGCTCATGCTCAGAATAGTCAGCAAATTACAAGCAAAACCGTGCCAGAACTCTCGCAAAAAGTCGGAAACCCCAAACCTCTTGCACCACATCCCAATATGAAGGGACAGGCCTCTTGTGCCGCCTGCCGCCGACAGCGAGCTAGCCGCAAACTGCAGCAGAGGAATCGCAATGACAGTTGGGGTCTTGGGCCTTGGGCCCTCTCGGATCTTGGATCAAACATGATCAAACCCTGAAACTTAAGCAACCTACATTCCGCAGCAACACCGACGCTGCCGGTCCTTAAACTCCGATATGCCTTATAATCATGCAGGAGCACATGAACCGCCTGCTGACGAACAAAAGCCTGCATGATCCACAATCAGGAGTCTCCTTCACCCACACTCCCTGGTACTCTAAGGTAAAGCAGGATCCTGTCCATCCGCTGGATGACGGAACACCGTAAGTGACGCATTCATGCAACTTCAACTGCGCTCCTTAACTTTCTAGTTGGGACTGGCTACCGAGGCTTGATCAAAGAACACTGAAACTGCTAACAAGTCTACAAACCCATCACCCACATACCGGGCTAAAGCTCTAATTTTCACCTCCGAAACCAGGACCCTAAACCTCGAAGGTCCTGAAAACCACGGCGCTGGACGAACCCCTCCTTAAAGCTCATCGTTTACGGGTAGAGGGCGATAGCTTAATTTTGCCAAGAAGCAGATATCTAGTTTGACTTTTACTTACAGCCATTCTTGCTAAGTCCTATGACCCTTGTAAAGTGGAACCTACAGGTCTCAAGCCAAAAGCCCGAAATCCCAATGCCCTTCCCCAATTACCCCCAGTCTCCAACCCCTTCAAACCTTCATCCCACACTCCTTCATCTGGGTAGTTCTCTAAATTAGGGTCCCTTTTGGGGGTCCTTTTTATAAGGGTGCCGTACTATATTGGGGACCCAAAAAGGGACCCTAATTTAGAGAACTACTACCATCCGGCACTTTGCGACGAGAGTCGAGGCGGCACCCAGACGAAGTCGGAAGCGGCTCTTCGGCCTTTCCCCAGAGGTCTCTTAGGGCCCTTAGGGTTGCTCCAGGGCTTGATAGGTGCCGGCAGGGGTTTCATGAAACTATCTATAATGGGCTGTTAATAAAGGGTTTTGGAAGACTTCAAGGGTTTAATCAAGGTTTTTGAGCGCCTCAAGGCTTTAGGTGTTTTCGTTTGTTCGGGGTTTGGGCTTCAATGTCTAGGCTTCGGTGTTGGGGCTTAGAGCTTAGGGCTTGGGTCTAGGCTTGGGGCTTTAGGGAGCCCAGCATTGTGCCTAGTGCTTGCAGTGACTATTCCTTAGTGGCGCAGTGATGCAAGGCAAGCAAAGACAAGGAGGTGCGCTGACGGGGGTCAAGTGCAAAATACCAAATTAAGTCACCCAAGCACGCTGAGACATCACAATGGCTGTTTTTGGTTCAGAAGAACATGTACAAGCAGGCTTGCAATAGCAATGGCAATACAGGCAGGCATTGCGAAACTGGCCAGAGTTCAGTGAGTGAAAAACTGTCCGCTATCCGCCGCTGCAGCCCTAATTCAATGGCCGAACAGAAACAGCACACTCAACAACCGTCGCCAAAAGGCTTGGCTTCGGATGACGAAGTTGCCCGGCAGTACTTAGACCCGAACCGCCGGCAATATTCAAAGCCCGCACTCAAATCCTGCACGTCAGAGTTTAGAAAAACGGTCCTTCTAGAAGACCATTAATCGAAAGCCTGTACAGTACAATGTCGTACTGGGAAAGCTCGATAAGCCCTGGACCCCTTCGGCTACTGCGGCGCCTCAATTCCAATGCCATGTCAACGCAATGCTCGGCGCGAAAAGAGACTCACACGAAGCCAAGATAGGTCTAAGGATTGTGGGTTTTGGATGTCTAGAACTTTAGGGTTTCGGGCGTTATAGGAAGTTTGAACTTTGCCTCAGAAGCTCAAGTGAAGGAGTAACATGTACTACCCATTTGTCGGTACTATCGCGACAGGCTTGGATGCAGTGAACCTCGTCTCACTACCACCATGTTGCCCTCTTCAGGATGGCTGCCCGCAGCACGGATGAACGGAAACAAGATAACACATGTCCACAAGGATACGTTCATGTGATGTTGTGTTGGTTGCTTGTACCGTCGGACGGCTGCAGCTGCCACAGGCTAAGCCTTTAAACCGAAATCCTAACACCCTGAACTCGAATCCCTCACCCTTGAACCCTGAAGCCCGGAATCCGTTACAAAAGTCCTGCTACAGTACCCCACATAAAATGATTTGGAATATCCTCTGCAAAGCCTTGACAACCCCCGTTACAAACACCCCTAGAAGGACTGAAGTGCCATGACTCGGACCTGGGGACCTGTTCAGTGAGACTTGAGACTCCCGGGCTCGGGGCCAAGGCGAGGTATGGAAGGACTCTGGAAACGAATAACTATAAGAACTACCTTTAACTCAATCCCAAGCAAGTGCCAGCTATTGAACTCTATTCAGGGTGCCTTGGGGGGGAGTTCCTGCTTTCGCAAGAGTCTGAGATTCAGTGCAGCGTTTGCAATGCTCCCCAAATACGTTTTCATGAAGGAGACGCTGCTTGTTCGTTCACCCTACTTGAAAGGTCATGGGATCTAGTAAGTCGGCTGTATTTGGGAGCAGAAGTACAACCTGATTGGGGTTATACTAATCGCAATCCTTACATACTAAGCCCCCGACAAGCAGCCTCGGCAGGCATGACAACTGCTGCCGAAATTCACTTTTCGACCCTGCTCGGTGACGCCCTCCGGGCGTTGCTTGCGGGGCCCTGCTAGCGCAACTAATTACTCATCTAACAAGGTTGCTGGCGATGCCACAGGCCCGTAGCTAGAACCCAGGAGGCCCTGGAGCAAAGCCACCGCCCCGGCTCACCAGGCATGTCACACTGAGGGTCCAAGTATCCAATAAGTTATTGCTCCAATAACCATAAACTCCCTTAAATACTGAGCCACACTTCTGCCTATCCTACGTCTCCGTACCTCATTGGCAAGTACTTGGGGTGGGGCTTCGGCGAGACTCGCCTCTGCTTTGGCGGGGGAATTCTCGGGCCCTCCTGGGCGGAGGCTGGTGAGCCGGGCACAGGAATGTCAGTGCTCTCTCGGCCCGGACTATGGATTGTGAGCTTCGGGCTGGAGAAAAGCCAGAGAGTCTTGGCGGTTTAGGGCTTGAGGGGGTCAGGTTTAGGGTTTTTAAAGGCTCTGAAAATGATTTTATGGGTTTGGGGCTGATGTGACTGTACGGTTTTTATTACGTTAGGAACTCGGGCCAATTCTTGACTGCGACGAAAGTGATGACGATCGTGGAGGTAGCCCACATCTGCAGTTGTGCCAGCAGGCGACCACGCATGTCCGTGTCACATCTGCAATCTTCTACCATCTGGTCGAAGCTGAAGCCGAGGGCTGCAAGCCTTGTCGCAAGCTCAAAAACAGGTGTCCCGGTTGCGAAAAAAGGTTCAAACATCGTCAGGCAATCTTGGGAAATGCTGTTCATAAGCCCAAAGCGTGCAAGTGGAGCCCCTGTTTCGAGACCATACCACTGCTAAGAAATACTTTGCAGTATCGGTCATACATAATATGCCATATAGTTCCCATAGCTCAGGGTCGTGGACGCAATGTACGAGGTGATGCATCAAATGTATGAAAAAAAGCACCTCCCTGTTGACCTGAGCCGTCTCGTCTAGACTTCCAGCAGAGCTTTGGTAAGTTTGTAGCAGGCCTGGGGCATGTGAATACAACCGCTGTGAAAATAACCGTGTAAATAAATAGACAGAGAGATAGACAGATACATACAGACACATATGCGCAGGAACCTTCCCAAGCATCTCACAAGAGGGAAGAACCACGAAGCAAACTAAAACAACCCACAGATTGAACTCTAAACTCGAGGCCACGTGCCTCGCGCAACGGATTTTCGAATATATGCTATATAGGGGCCAGAACAATTGGAATAGAACTCTCGGGTATTAAAACAATAAGCAGATACACATATTACGGGACCCTAAGCGACGATATTGGCAACCGGATACGAAGTTCAGCTCCCGGACCTCCTATCCACATCGAGGACAGCCGTTGTCTGGGAAGACCTGCAGCATCTCCTCATTCGAAGCGGGACCCGATGAGTTGCGTAGCCCTGATAGTACCCACAACCCATGGCAGTTACCTGTTACCTACCATGTCATATTCGTAAGGGGGAGTCTGCAGGGCGTGAATCCCCTCCGCACCTGTATCGTGGCAACACTCAGTTGACGCAAGGCAAGGAACCCCTTAAACATGATAATCGTACCAAAAAACTGCGACGGCGCTCGGGCAGGAGTGTTGTGCCGGCCTACGTACAAGTATACCAGGAGCCACACAAAGCATCCTTTTTGATGTCACCGCGGCCGCTTGCCTGATACTGCCTGGAAGCTTGTTTGTTGCGGTGACGTTAGAGTTTGAGCGGGGGAGCTGTTGCCAAGGCCTTCCTGTTCTCCAGCTTTGCTGCTTTGTTCATGGCCTCCACCACGTCCAGGCGCTTCAGTTGTTCGGCCACTTTCACGAGTGACAGGGTGTCTTGGTCTCTGCTGTTCACCTCTGCCTTCGCATTGACCAGTGCCTGCACAATATCTCCAAACCTATGCGCCCAAGCAGCAAGCTTCGATCGTCTAAAGGAGAGTTCCAAGGCATCGCCTTTAACAGCTTGTCCCAGGAGTTCAAGCGGAGTTAGGCCAGCGTTGTTCTTGGAGTTCACATCCGCTTTGGCCTCCAGCAATACTTTCACCACATCCTTGGAACCGTACCAAGAAGCTCTGTGGAGCGGCGTCTCCAAATGATTGGTTTTGCTGTTCACGTTCGCCCCGGCCTGCAGTAGGTCTTTTGTTACATCTACGTCGGCCTGCGCTGCCAAGAAGAGCGGCGCCCTGCCCTCACTGTCTCTGACATTGACGGAGGCCTTGGCATCAAGCAAGGCCCTGACCAAGTCCCTGCGCATGATGCCCTGCGAGTGAGACAATGCCTCGTGCAGGGGCGTACGAGCCCAGTTGCTCGGGGCATCGACATCCGCCTTCGCATGTAATAGCACCAAAGCCATGTCTTTGTAGGCAGCGAAGTGGAGGGGTGTTTTTCCTAGAATTGCTGCATTGATTTCCGCACCGGCATTCAGCAATTCCTGCACGAGCTCTATATGATTCTCTTTCACGGCCGCTGCGAGGGGCGTTTTGATGCCAAGGCCGGAAGGCCGGAACCCTGAACGAATGGAGTTCACCTCTGCTCCCAGGCGTAGCAGTAGTCTGGACAGCTTGACATCTCCATCGCCATAAAAGGCTGAATCAAACAACAAGTCATTGAGGTCCTTAGATGCGCACCGTCACTTGATGCGCAGAAAAGCATGAAGATCAATAGCATTTTTTAGGTGTCCCTACAGGATATGTTGGCTGCTAGCTTCCCAAACTAAGCGACAGGCATACTCGGGTCCTTCTTGTAAGGTTCCCAGAATGCGGCATCGATAATCCTAACAACGCCTAGGCTAGAAACTCCCATAAAGCTCCGCAACACCTTATGCTAAGACTAAGAACCGCTCCACATAAAAACAATCGCGAGTCCTTTTGCTCCAGCGACATGGATCGCAGGATCCGTTCTGCAAGGTCGGCATCGTCCTTTTGTCGGGGCCGTGCATGTCTAAGCCCACCAGTAGGTCGAAAACAGCTTATACTCGGTAAAAATCCTTATGGTAAACGGGCCTGAACAATTAGTCAGCGTCTTCCGCAGTCTGAATTACAAGGCCCCCTAGAGCCCCAGAGCATTCGGTCTGCGCCCCGACCTTGGCCAGCTCCCCAAGGCAGGGGGCCACGAAGAGATGGGGGTCGATGGCGTGCTTGGTGAGGTTCCGAAGATAATCAAAACTGACCTTTCATGAGGCTATAGGGTTGGCATTTGGGGGTCTGAGGTTTTGGGGCTTGTAAGATTAGAGCGTATGCACACATTGAAAGATCGTTTCTGCATGGATTAGGCACGCCATTCCTCACCAGTCCGGCAGCAAGGCGTGCGTCGCCCTTGACAATCAGGCGCTTGAGAACGGTTGCATTCCCGGTCACCTGGCAGCAAAGTGGACCTAGGGACACCGTACTGAGGGGAGACTGATACTTCGTGTTGGGGTCGGAATTCGCATCATTCGTCGCTCGCGTCTGTGGGCTTGAATATATGCAGTGCAACCCCAGGTTCACAAAAGAGATACGGTGTATAGCTGTATAGGTGTACCACCCCGTAAGCCGCTAAGCCATGTAAACCCACCAAACCTTCGAAATCCTGTAGACCTTTAAACTCTTAAACCTGCAACTCTGCTAGCTAACCATAGTATGCATTACCAAACCTTAAGCCGTAAGCCTTGCAAAACCCTCAGAAACATGGATCAAGCTAATACAAAACCCATGCATCATAAAGAAATGGCTGCCATGCGCCCTGCGTTTGTGAAAATACAGGGTTTACTTAGTCTACTTGGATTACTTTGACAATCTGTTCATGCAGTTCATTGTTTACAAACTCTGTCGCTGCTTGCAAGCAGGGGTCGTTGCTTCTGGGGGGAAGGGTGGCGGGCAGTGCGGAGGGTCTTTATTCAGGTTGGGAGACCTGCACCGCTCGCCCCCACCCCCACTCCACACCCCAACCACCACATGCCAAAACATGCCAAAACAACAGAACAACAGATCGGACCATACACCATGGCAGCAGCACACACACACACACACACTGGCGCGATTCCACAGGACCTTACCTTACTGCAGAGTTTGGAGCCTGACCCCCTTTATTACGTTGTTTCCCATCCTCGGTGTGGGGTTGTTAGATTTTAAAGTCAGCTATTACTCCCGCACCCCACAAACTACCGTGAGACTCCCTCGAAGAGACTACCATGAGACTCCGTGCCAGAGACCACCGTCAGACTCTTTGGAGCGCCCAACCCGGGGACCCCAGGACCTTAACGCCAGTCAGTGGTGTGCCCCCGTGGATCGTCGACTGACCTGAATCGAACATGTTTTGCGCGGACCCGACGTCCGTAACGCCAGTCAGTGGTGCGACCCCATGCGCGCATGGGTCGTCGAATGACCTGAATCGAACACTCGTGTTTTGTTCCGTGTACGGGGGGACCCCACGATGGATCGTCGATGGACCTGAATCGAACACTCTGTTGTTACATGCACCGGGACCCCACGACCGTGACGCCAGTCAGTGGCGTGATCCATGGATCGTCGAATGACCCGAATCGAACACTCGTGTCTTGCTACGTGTACGGGGACCCCACGTCCGTAACGCCGGTCACTGGCGTAACCCAATGGATCGTCCACCGACCTGAATCGAACACGTGTTTTACTACGTGGTCGAATGACCTGAATCGAACAGGACCCTACGACCGTGACGCCAGTCAGTGAGGCCCCCACATGCATTTTATCTGTAGGGTGGGGATGTGCGAAGTAAAATAAATTTCCTCCGTGGAGGAAAATAATGCGTGTGTATATATAGCGTACCACATCACCTGGTTTGCTGATGTTCTGTAAACTTTGGCAACATAGATGTTTGCTGCCTGTAAAGTGTATGATTTGTGGAAGGGTTGTGCATGAACACCTTTCCCGTTAACAAATGGGTCGTTTTAAAGCACGCATAGTTCAAGGGTTCAGGCTTCAGGTAAACCATTGGGATGTGCGTGGAGTGTACGTCAAGGGTAATCGTAGGGATGGAGGGCGCGCGGTGGCCTGGACTCTGGAACATAAGGATTTGTAGGAGCCTTGTCCAGCCAGGCGTGCGTTTTTATATACCGCACAATGTATTTGAACCGATGTAAGCTGCTCTAGATTCTGCCAAGATACAACTGTCTCGTATCAGTTTACTGGGAGCGTCTATGCTGGATGTGGAAATCCAGCAATGCAGTTTCGCGATTGTCGCTACGTACTGTTGTGAGGCTCCTCATAGGTAAGCACAACTACCACTGAAAGATTAGAATAGAGTCTAAAGACACAGACCCAGTCAAAACACACGGAAATCAGAACGCAATGAGGCGGCACTGCACCCGGGATTAGCGGATGGTACGGTTGTAGAATAAGCTTGGACGACGCATGCTTCTTTCAGTTCGCTTGGAAATGTCAAGGTGTTTGATGTGTACTATTCATTGTCGCAGCAATGCACACCTACCTAAAACACGTGCCAATCAAAACCGCAGGCCCCAATCACAACCCGGTTCCATTATAAACCTATGCAAACCCATTACAACGATCTACAACCTTTTATCCCTGACTTATAACTCCAAATCTTAAAGCCGGAGCCCTTATCACAACCCTGTCCTAAATCCAGATAACAGAACCCCCCAACCCTGTTAGAGCCCTTGTAGCCGATTCCGAAACACTAAAGGCAGCCCACCTTCTCGAGCATCGATGGTAGGAAGGTTTTCACTTGATCCACGCACCGCGCGATGCATCCGGTGCCTGTGTGCTTGTATGGATACAGGAATGGTGAAATGGTACCGTCATGGTTTAGGGTATAGCGTTGTGGTCTATATTGTTATTGTCTTATGAGCTGCGAAAACAGCACTAAGTCCCGTACCGACTCGGTCCATGCAATGGCTGCAATCGTTGACTCGGATGCGCAGCTTGTCATCTGGCACCTGCAACGAGATGTACAAAGCCTGCAAGATCACAGAGTGCCATGTTAAGTGAGCCACGACATTCCCCCAGATCCTGCATCCTAAACCTAAACCCTACCCCAATCCGAGGCAAGAAGACGTAGATAGCCTATGCGTCCTACATTTGGGTGCTTGGAAATCTTATCATTCCACTACACACACACACACACCCCACAGTGACCCAGATAACCTGAAGCTTTTGAACTAATCCTGCTTGAAAGAACGGTCGTGGGTAGGTCGAAGCAAGGCTATTCTGCTGTTCCGACCACAATACTCACTACTTGTTGCTTGCGGATGCGGCGAGCGTCGCTAAGGTGCCTTACCTAGTTACGATTTCCAGCAGAGCTTAAATAAGTGGTTCAAATCTAAAAGGCGGAAAGCCTTGACAGCAACACGCACGGCGGTGGCCAATTGCTCCATCCTCGATTCACACTTTTTCCATTCGGGGTGGGCATGCTCTTCCAGGGATTCCAAGCCTCCTTCTTGAAGGTTTGGCGTGCAGTCGTTTGGAGCCCGAGGGTTGAGATTCAGAGAATGAATTACAGCATGGGGACAGCAGAGGAAACGGAGAACGATTCCAAACCAAGCCCAAGAGTCTTCGTCTCTGGGTGGACGTTCAGCACAACCAACTCTGCCACATGGCCGCTAAAGCGCCCGAGGCTGGGTAACTCCACACGAAAAGCCACCGACTCGCCGAACGGCCGCCCTTCGTCAGAGAGTAGGTTGGCCTCTGCTTGCCACAGACACTCTGGGTACTACATGAGACGTCAAAGATAACACAGCCAAGTGCAAAGTGTTTGATTTCCTGCTTTCGGCTAAGTGACGCCCGAGACAAAATAGACTCGCTGATTCGCCGGCATTTCGCTGATCAAGCTCAAGGAGTTCGAAGCCCACGTGGGCTGCTGTACCTGAAACCTGACGGTCGCTTAAACATGAGGGGTTCCCGTTCTAGGAGAAAGACCCTACCATGGACCCTTTTCTGAAAGCTTACGAGCTTATTTGCAAAGGCGAAACACCTTTGGGCTGTACAAGGAATTTCTAGCGGGGGTTGGCGGAGGGAAGAGGGAGGGGAGAGTTCTGCTTCTATCTGGTCCAGTCTGGGAGCATAGGAAACGATGCAGACTGTTGCTCTTAGGAAGTTTATCGGAGAATAGCTTTAGATTCTTGCCATCCCACATAATTCAAACCTATGCCGGATGATAGTCGAGCATCTAGTCACATTGAACCGTTCTCTTGGGCAGTATGGTCCCTCTATATGGTTCAAAAACTAATCCAGTACGGCTTTTTATCCGGCAGTTTTCAGGTGTTCAGTCCCCGAAGCGCCAACCACTAAACCGAAATCCTGAAAACCATGCTGTCATACTATACTAACTATACTGTCCTTTACCATACCAGACTATACCACACAATGACACAATAATACCATACTTTACCATACTATGCAAATTCTTCTGCACGCTGTTCTACTACAAACAGAAAACGCTACACTCCCCAAACCCTAAACCATGCACCACGAACCCTAATGAACCCTAGCCGCCCTAGCCCTAAACCCCGAATCTCAGACGGATGACGTGCACCATCTGAAGTGATCGACTTCCGGCAGCTCGACCACTGCACCAAATCTGAGTCGCTGCAGGTACCAGGGTACTACGAAGGTCTGAATTTTAGGATGGGGTTGGTTTAAGGGTTCGTTTAAAGAGTTCTGTATAGATTACTGTAAGGGCTTCTATGACGGTTCAGTATAGGGGCCCTAATTACTAGAATAGCAATTTGGGGAGTGTTATACTCTGTTAATATGAGGACTATAGTATAAGGGGGAACAGTATAGAATGCATGTATTGTTCGACCCCTATTTTAACAGGGTGCCCAGCTCTGCTCTAACATCAAAACCCCCATCGGGCTGAGGTGTTCAGGGTTTAGAGGCTTTTAAACCCGAGCCATGGGAGCTATCGCAAAACTCCTCGAGGTTCATAATTTCGAGACTTGGAGCCCTAGACCGTAAACCCGAAAGATGGCTTCGGTGAGCCATAGGGTATCCTAGTGCACAATCTTCTCTCGGCACGTCAAGTTTGTAGATCCCAGTTTCAGTAGACCCGTGCTTCAAGACAGAAATAGTTGCAACTCGCGTGGAGGCATAGAGAATCACCCATTTGGGAACTGTTGGGGACAGAAAGGATCTCCCAACCCATGGAAGTGATTTCCTGGCAGAGATTGGAAGCTTGGACAAGCTTGAAGAAAGCCCTCAACAACGATGACGCGACTTTCTCCTGCTATTGATCTTAGATCTTGCTACTAGCAACCCCCCTACTCGTAAATAGATGGCATTACTGGAGAAAAAGATGCTACAGCGAACCTGCGTAGGGCATACAGATTAAAATTAAAGATTTGAAGGTTACCATCCTGTCCAAGGGACAGCGTGTTGCCCAGGATGAAGCCTTCCGGTATCTCGCTCAGCACCGTGAGAAGATGAAGTGAAGTCACGCGGCTCCAGAGGACGAGATTGCTTTTGAGCCTCGGCGCCTTGGCCCATTCCTGCGCAGGCGCCTGCAATTGTGGGCTGAAACTGATATTGGAAGAAAACCGACCCATCTTCCCAATGGATGTTCAGCTTCACTGGCAATGTAACACATCTGCCGGTGCCTTATCGTTCGTCGCGAAGAGCAGGTTCATCCCAGCTGATATGCAGTCGTAAAAGGACTTGAGTGGATCTTCCTCTTACTTAGCCAGTACTCAGGGAAATAAAGAGGACTAAACTTGCAGAACGATCCTTGACCCATTAAAACCAAATATCAGATCAGCAGCGTGCCTAGTCGATTCCAAGACTCCTTAGCAAAGCTTCGAGGTAAGGAATTGGAGACCGAAGTCCTTGTGGCGTCTTTGGCAAACGACGGATGCCCACTGAACAAAGCGACGCTTCTGGGAAACACAGGCGCGCAAGGCCGCTTCTCTTTTCTCCTCCTCGCGAGCATGTGGGAGCTGCCCCTAAAGCTTCGCACCCTAACATCCCAGAACCACAAATGCAAATCCTGTTTTGGACTCCTTCTAGCAACGATATTCTAATCCGATGCCCGCAAGCACCCGGACAATTCCCACAGCCCACTGGTCTAGGGACTGTCCGCTCCTAAATCCAAGAGAGCCCTGCATGATGCTTCGAAAACAAAACCTGCGAAGAGAAACATGTACACTCCTGTATAAAGGCGTGCAAGTCCCTAATAAAATCCCTGAAGCCAAGCCCGTGAATGCAAGCAAGACAGAAACACAAACCTAAACAGCGCCTAAACCGTAACCCTTTACAGGGGTCCACTGTCGGATGGCTCTGGCAGCCACAGCCCTGGCAAGGATCCATCCTTTGCTTGGCGCAGGCTCGGGGATTTGGTCTTTCTTTTGATTTTTGGGTTCATAGCTTTGGGGTTGGGGTTGCGGATTTACCGGGTTGAGTGTTTTCAGCTGGATTTCGTTGGAAAAGGCTGTTTGGGGTTTGGGTGTCGGGCTGAATGTTCACGGCGGGGGATTTATGTTTGGGATGGGCATCTTGGAGGCGCTAGAAACTTCGTGAGCAAGGGCGGGATTACATCTGTTAAGCCAAAGCTATTTTTCAGGAGAAGTTTAAGTTCTAGGTTTGGCACAAGCAAAGTAAACTATCACCCGCAAAACCTTTGGCAAAACCTTAGACCCGAAGCCCTGAGCCCTATATAGTCGGAGTTCCAAAACAAAAACGCAGACACCGAACAAGTACTAGGTTCCTTAGTCTAGAAATCCGCAAAAACAAGGTCTTCCTAATTAACCCTATAACTCCTAAATGAACTCAACTCCTAAACTCCAAAAGCCCTACTCACAACTCGAACTCCAAGGTGCAGGGCAGCCTCCAGGCGGGCGGCGCTCTTGTTGCAGAAATCCTGGCCCATAACTCAGAACCCTGGGAGCGAGACCTAGTCATTCGATACTTACCACAACCCCAAACCACCGAAATGAAATGCTCGAAGGAGGGTGCGGTGTCCTGGTCTTTTGCATCGCAGCTTCCGTGGATGACCTGCGACATGAAATCCCTACTTGGAGGTCCATGTCTAATTGCAAATCCATAGAGTCGCGAATACCTTAGTTCGGGCTGTTAGAATGCTGCATGCCTTACTTCCGGCACACCTTACTTACAACGTCACGCATGAATGAATTTGCATGAAGTCCCAAAACACCCCTCCAAAGCAAGCCAGAGGCGCAGTCTGCTGCTTAAAGAACTCCTCGGCGTTCGGATAGCTCATGAACTCCTCCTTGAGTTCATCTAACAGCTCCTCCATGCCTTCCTCCCGCCAGAGGCCAGGAACTTGCGGGCTGAGGGCAGGCGGCGGGGGTCGCATCGCCATCTCCTAGGCTCACCCATGTCGAAAATTGCAACCGTGACACAAAAGCGAAAAAAAGTGGTAACTTCTGAGGAGACTAGTCTCATCCAGCTTCAGCTCCATGTCGTGCAGCTTCTTCTTTAATTCGGCCACCTGGCTGCTAAGCCTCTCCAGCTCTGGCTCCTGGCGGGGCTTAGGGTTTGGGGTCAAGTCTGGGGCTCGCTATAGAGCCTTACAAATCCACCGTAGCCGGGCTTGAAAAATCCACCAAAAAACTCTGCAGTCGAAAGACCTGACAAACTCTAACATCAGGGATTCCCAGACAAAGCTCTCAATAATCCGAGATTAGGAGATGTATGCAGCCCCGAAGGTGCTGAAACCCGAAGCTGGCATCCATACCCCTTACAGACCCCAGCACGGCCACTGGTGTAGCACACCCGAACCAAATCAAGGCAGTGTCGAAGGCCGTGATACTGGGAGTCTTGGTCTACAGCTCCTGTGCTCCAGCTGTGTCCCGGCTGTGGCCATCGCGACCTGAGGCCGCAAACGGGGGGGGAACTAACTGTAACGAGGGCATTCGCATTGTTTGGAAAAAGCAGCAGGTACCATGGGCCACACATGCCGACTTTAGAAGGGTTCAACAATTTTAAACTTCAGTGGCGCCTGAACCTGAGTGGGTTCGTCCCCATGTGCACGATTGCGGCTGTGACTCGGTGTGGCATGCGGACTGTGACTCGGTGTGGCAGCCCAGCGTCCAACTCCACAGCGAATCACATGTGCATTATTCTTTTTAGTGAGTCGCGATTGGTGCAAAACCTCGAACTGTTCCAACCTGAACTCAGAACTGCCGAAGCTGCAACAAACAACCCTGTCCCTCCCACAGAGGGATACTGTCTCCCCAAACCCCAACAACGACAGTGGCAAGCTTCATGCTCTCCGAAAACACAGCACGCGCCTGCAAACCGGTGGGCGAGGACAAGGCTCTCCAACAAGCCCACAGCAAGGAGCAGTCGCATAAAACAAAAAGTATGACAAACAACAAGGGGCTGCTGATGCGCATCCCTGCCTTAGCCGAGATGGCTGCTCGAGACATATATTATTCTAGTCTGATGACCTTTACCAGCTCCACTTTGTCATCATCCTGCTCTGAACCCCTGAAACAAAAATGGACCCTGGAGTCTGAAGAACTCTCCCTACAGTTTTGATGAATCTCCCCAGACAGCATCTTGGAAGCAATATAAGCAACGAGAGCTCGAACATGACTGCCAGTAAGACACCGCAACCTCTTAGAGAGCCCGCAACGGGGCTTGAGGGCAAGCGGAACTCTCGACATGGGGGAAGCACTTTTACACCGGAGCCTTCCCAAACCACACGAAACAGTAACGATTTCTGCTACTTACCCCCATACTATCGTGTCGGTTCTTGCTGTTCGATGTTTCCGAGTGTTCGACAAAGCGCCACTATCATACTTGCTTTTGTTTACTGCCTTCACCCCTGCCACCACCAAACTCATCCGAAGCCTGTACATCGGTTCTTTGCAACGGCAATCGCTGCACTTGGGCCGCCGGTGCTTGCATCGCACACCCGTACGTAACCCATAACCCAAAGTCAAAGGCAGCGCAAAACTGCAGCTTTGAACAAGGCTGCCTCAATCCGGCACCTTGAATGACAAGTCTAAGATTTGCAGCATCCCCAACACAGATTCGAAGCTTGTTAAGCTGGGGCCATACATCACAACTATTTGTGGGTAGAGCCGCCGCTCAAGCAAGCATTCCAAGCCCAAACCTTTAGCCTTTGATACTAGTACTAGTACTAGTACTAGTACTACTACTACTACTACTACTACTACTACTACTACTACTACTACTACTACGGCGACGAGTTGCAGTTGCATAAACAAGCGGCAAACAGAATCTCCAGCAGGGCCCTCGAAACAGCCAGGCCTCCTTCGATCCTTTTGCTGAAGGAGTTGCACACAGCCTGGTCGGAGAGTTCTGCGCTTAGAATTTAGCTTGGGGCTCAAGGATGCGGGCTCAACACCTGAACTGTACTGCATGAGTTCGTGACCAGCTAGCCGAACACGAAGTTGATACCAGTGTGTCACTACTCGAATTCGGTCAAAGCTGGCAGCTGGCTATCCGCATAACCTTTCTGACGACTTCACCCCTAACGACCCATAAACCGAAACCAGCGGCCATGCACCACAAGCCCCAATAGTTCGCCCCGATACCCACGAAAGGATCCTCACCTTCACCTCTGGCAGTGGTGGTCGCAGTGCGCCATTGTGGCAGCAACAGCAATCGACTGTAGATGCCGCGCAACCGACTCTGCCTTGCCGCTGCATTCCAGGGGCTTGGAGAATGGGTTTCAGGCATCTGCGCTAGCACGGCGCGCAGAAATCAACCACAGACAGACCAGTAGATGCAAGACCAAAGCCTAAACTCGACAATTGCATCGACCAGCCAAGTGCTGAACTGTAATAGGTTTTGAAATTGGGAGTGAGGGTGTGCAGGTTCGGATCAATGCTTGAAAGATGACGGTCGGATCTGAGCAGCAGTTACGAGAACCCCAAACCCTGAACACGGCGCATTTGGCTGACTATACACAGCCTGTAACTTGAACTGATCGACTTTGCAGCCACCACAGGCTGTGTCGACAGTGGTTGTGGTGGCATAAACTCGCGCCAGCTTAGCATCAAGGTTTCAGCACTAGCTTTGTTAAAGCCATGCCAAAGCCGAGGCAACGTAACTAATGCAACATGCAACAAATTACACACCTTCTTGAACTGCGCTTGTAATCTCTGCAAGCAAATCTCGCTTTTGTGTGTGTGAGCGCCCGAACTGCTACCAAGTCACAGCGTAGCAGTCGAATAGAACCTCCCGCGCAAAGGTTCGAAGCTACATCAACTGCACAGCGTCATGGAAGCTGCTTGCCTCAGTTTTTCCCGCAAGCAGACCCTTCACAGTCAGCAGATTGAAGATTGACCATTGATTCGCTTGCCATTGTCATCGTCAACTGCCAATCACAAACATCACGAGTACCACAACGAACCAACAAAATACACTAATACTAAGCCAGGAATCCAATCGCAACCACTACTGAGATGGCGAGCTGCCCCACGGCTGCTCCTTGAGAAGCTCAGCGGGGCTTTGATGTCCAAGCTCGGCAACAGGCGGAGGAAATCGTGCATCACAAGCGAATAAAATAAATCCAACCTCAGTGGCAAGATTCAGTCGTCTTATAGAAAAGCAGCCCTTCAGCACTCAAGCCTGAACCGAACGGAGCCCATGCAAAAAAAAGGGGTGGATACAAGCTGCCCCTAAGGCTAGCGGAGGCTGCCTAGACACTGAAAAGCGGCTGCCACCAAGGAACCTTCAAGACAATGCTCACGATGCGCTGAAGGCTGGCAGCACCAGGAGCAGCAAGAAGGACGCAGACCCTGACTGTTCGGGATTAAGGCTTGAGTGGGGCCTATAGGCCTTAGGGTATACGGCCGAGGGTTTACTGTCGGGGCAAGGACTTGGGTAAGAGGGTTTTCGGCTTCGTAGTTCAGGGCTCCCTTGCGGGTCTGACGGCCTGATCTGCGGGGCTTTAGGTTGAAGCCTCAGCGTCGAGGCAAGAGCATCTCCATGATAAGGTGCAGAATCCAGAAGTGCATCGTTCTCAGCCGACAGCCCCTGAAGAAGTCTGAATCCTTCGCAACATCTAAGGCCCAGGATTTCGGCCTCCTGCCAGTCTGACGGCACATCCAGTCAGCTCGTATCGGATCTCTGCTGACTCGCAGTTTGGCAGCACGCCGACCTGCCGGTTTAGGGAAGAGAGGGATCTCAGCGCGAAAAGTGGTGTGGGGTTTGGGAGGTTAGGGGTCCAGGGTTGACGGTTGTAGGGTCTATAGCGGCTTAGGATTAACTGTTGTGGGGTTTAGGGTTTAAGGATTTGGCACTTAGGGTTGCAGGTTTGGGGGGGGTCCTTCGTGAGCTCGGCCAACTTAGTAAGCCCAAATCTAGAGGAGAGTTAACACATGAATATTCACCTCACATCGGCAGGACAACGGCGTGCTGCCAACGCGTGAGACATGTGAGCTTGTTGGTACGAGAAGAGGCACGTGTCGTTGCTTCGCGATCATTTTGCTACAAAGGTTGAGCTCACGGCAGCACTCAGTTTAAGTTTGTTGTTTTTTGTGTTTTATGCTTCCGGGCTCACCATGTGTGGCCTGATCGCTGCTTTTCTCTCGGAGGTACCCGTCGGCACGGCAGATATACTCCAGCCTTGGTTCACCAACACGACTCGCCATCAGGTGAACAGGCTTGAAGCACGGCCAAGAAACAGCATGCGTACCAAAATCCTTGCTGGGCAGTACCTCCCTGGCCCTGTTAGTGTTGCTAGTGCAGTGCAGTTCAACCAAAGGTCCACGATGCACATGTGTAAGGTTTTCGCTGTCATTACAGAAACCACCACTGTAGCCTGTGCTGCGCAGGCAAACCGCCACAAGCACTAACACCCTTCAAACCCCAACGAGAGGCAGACCCACAGGAAGCAAGACAAGGTTTCGAACTACCGCATCATGCCACAGCAGATTACAGCACATGATCGAACCTTCAAACTTTCTTCTCCATGCAGTCCCTGCATGCACACTGACTTTATGAATAGAGAACAACTGGTTGTGCAACTTCACCTGTCTGCCCATTTGTTCATGGTTGGCACGATTCCTTCGCTGCATGACTTAGTACTTGCCCCAGCAGGTTGGGGTTTCAGGAAGTTACGCACCCGACAATCCACACTGCTCTAGAAAGACCTGTGCGAGGGAAATCGGAGCACCTTCTACGATTCTACATTTCATTAAGAGACCGAAACCCTAAACACCCCAACCCCAATCCCTCGTTACCCCCCCCTGCAACCCGAAACCCCAAACGCACAATTCAACAACCCCGAAACCCCACAACTATGGACAAAACCCTGCCTGTAGCCTGCTTCTACAAAGCATGAAAAACGAGTTGTTTGCCAGGAGTCTCCGTGCCGGTGAAACCGCTTGCGCAGCGGGCGAAGCAGCTGCCTCCTGTCCGCAGGCCGCTACAGCCGTCGGCAATGATCCTTGGGGTTTGTTTGGGTTATATTTACACTTCAGCTCACGGCCAAGTAGTCACAAGCTTGATGCAGCCTGCCCGTTTACGCTCCAATACTGTTGAATTCTGCTCGACAATCCTAATGCATCTTCTTGTGCTGTCCGGCACTGCGCCTTCCATCTATCGCTGAAATGTGCAGCTGAGTGTCAATCCCACCTTCAAGGGGATTCCAAGGCGGCACTCGTTTGGGATGCAGGCGGGGGAGATGCCCCGGAAGCTGTAGTCGTCCTCATTTGGTTTAGGAGTTAGACTGAAGGATTCAGAGTTGAAGGCTCACGGCTGTTGCCGAAGTGTGTAAGCGAATAGTCTGCAAAGTTAGGGCGAGGTAGACCTATCCGGTGTGGCTTGCTAACGGCCGGCAGGAGTTCGGTATGTTGAAGTCAAGAAAAATGCACAACAATCCACGAACGTAGTCGTGTGGTTTAAGTCAAGGTATGGCGCAGCCTCGACTCTAGGCCAACTTTGTCTCACCTATACACATCGAATGCCTTTGAATTCCACCACACCTGGACCAAGCGACATCTTAACACCCGTCGATGCCAAGTTACGAGGCAAAGAAACGTAGCTTCAGGTCCCGAATAGCCGGGCTCGCACCATGCAGTGCACCTCAACCAAAAAGTCACCATAAGCCTACTTAGGTCTGGGAGCTGAAAATACCGGAACTTGGGTAAAGACGGCAAACTCTTTTGGCCGGGATCTCTTTCACGAATTCGGGGCGCTGTTGCCATGGCTGCTTGTTGCTGTCGCAGTCGTGCAGGACGTTCCCGACGCCCCCGGGCATACCTACATCACCTAAGCTCAGGGACAGCGGGCTTACACCTTCGGCCTGAAAGAAGCACTGACACCAAAAGTAAGTTTAGGTAACTATAGGGTCCCTCAGCAGAACTCAAAGACCGCAAGGCACAAAAACTAAACACAAATCCAGAAACCGAGTTGCAGCTTAACTGTAGCCGGGTGGGAGCCTCACGATCTCGAAGGTTCGGCCAGGAGCGGACGCGCCACCAGCCGGAGTCGGGTTTGGCCATAGCGGCCGTGGCATTCTCCTGTAGACTGGATAATGGTCAAATTATGGTCCAGTAAGGCAGGGTTTGTATTCTATAGGATAGGGTTCGGTGAGCACGAGGGCTCCTGAAGGATATCAGCCTGCACACTGTCGTCTTGGAGATCTTAAGTCATGGAATACTGATATAACCTTTATGATCAACAGCTTCATGGGTAGTTGCTCTCACGTTGCTTTCTCAATCTCTCTCTCACACATAAGCGAGACAAACCATTAGGGGGTCAATAGGGGAATGGATGCATATGTGACGGACTCTTTGTGTGTGTGTACAAAAAACGAGTATGATGAGTATAGTAGCATGCTTGCATGGGAGGAAGGTTGTTTTGATATATATATATATATACATACATGCGCATAATACTATAACTCTGTTTCTTCTTGTTGTCATTGTTACTGTTGTTGCTACTGCCATTATTGTTATGCATCATGTCGTTGTCGTTGTTGTCGTTGTTGCTGCTGGTAGTGGTGTTGTTGTTGTTGTTGTTGTTGTTGTTCCTGCTGCTGCTGCTGCTGCTGCTGCTGCTGCTGCTGCTGCTGCTGCTGCTGCTGCTGCTGCTGCTGCTGCGGCTGCTGCTGCTATTGCTGTTGCTGTTGCTGTTGCTGTTGTTGTTGCTGTTCTTGTTCTTGTTAGTGTTACTGCTCCTATTAGTGATGAAACGAATGATACCCAACACGTCATCATGACCATTATCGTCAACAACAACATCATCATCATCATCATCATCATCGACATCATATGCCGGGGTTCAGAAAACTCGATGCACCTTATTGAGAGCTTCGTACAGTCATAATCATCTTACTGCAGGGGATCCTGGCATGCTTCCGATCTTGCTTCGCTCTACTAGAAGGGGCACACTACAAATGAAGATTCTACCTTTAGTGGTCTGAAGAGTCACAGCCCTCAGGTGCACCCAGTCGGCAACGTTTTCACGTCACTGATGACCGTCCATAAACTGAAGGAGACTTTGGGATGACCAGCTGTTCGACATTTCACTTCTCCTGCCTTCTTCTTAGTTCTTCAAACTGGACGTGCGCTTAGTTTGCAGACGACCTCAGCTCGCGGAATGCATGAACTCCAAATGTCCTCACTGGCGTTCGTCGCATTCGACTGGTTCGTGCCATTTGTCGACACATTTGGCCTGTCCGTGGCTGCCTCGGCTCTTGTTAAGGAACCGCACCTAAGTTACCCAATTACGGAAGCATGTTGAGTACATGTATGCCTGTTTGCGGTGACTGGACTTGCAACTCTTATGCCCTTAAATTCGAAAACAACATGAAAACGTCTTAACACCCTAAAAACAAAAGCCATGCACACGCCCTAAAGTAGGGCTTCTTCAAGCTATTTCCCTTGGCAAGACTCCGTACTTTCGGTCAGGTCGGAGATGGGCCCGATCCAGAGTTCCAGAGCGACCTCCCAGTCATCCACTGGGGAGCGATTTCTGAGAATCATGTCACGGTTTAGCGTTCAGGGCATCATTCTTTGTTGAGACCTCTTTTTTGCCCGCCCACCAGTAAGAACGCCTAATAGGCTTAGTGGTGTAGGGGTTTAGAGTTTAGGGGGCTCATGATGGAATGACCCTTTATTCCCAGGGGCTACGACCGGGTTGTCGAAGGACCCACCGAGAAGATGGAACCGCGAAGTTGACTTGATGGCTTGGAGGATGCAAAGCTGCATTAATCTTTTTTGTGCATTTAAGCCAGTCCTAAATCCTACATCCTAAAGCCTGAGAGACAGAGAGAGAGGGAGAGAGATAGATAGATACATATATATATATACATATACAAAATAAGTCAAACCGCCACCGACGCAGCGATTTCGAAGCTGCGACCTCGTCGGCTGCAAAGTTGGCCTGGCCCTGGATCAGCTCCACGCATTGTATGGAGGCCTCCTGCTTGGGCTTCTGACTGGCTTTCAGGCATTTCTAACTCTATACCCTAAAACCAGACGAGGCCGGAACCAGAAAGCCCTGCCAGGACTTGAAGGGCATAAAGTCTAAGCTGACCGGCCAGCCGAAGGATTCAAAATACCCGAATTGCTACCAGAAGAAACCCCTCGGTACCTAGTCGATGACCCCTTGGACCTGAAGCCTGCGACCCACAAGCTCAGCTCAACGGCCGAAACTCCGGACATTGCGACCTTTGAGCCCCCCCAAGCTCTCACGGCTTCACCTGAAATGACATAGAACCCGATAGAGCTCTGTCACTCTTTTGACTCCATATACATTGGCATCTGTCGTCATCAAAACCCAGCACTCCTGCCGGAGAATGACACCCACCCAGGGGCCGCCATCGCAATCTTCGCAGCTGCCAATCCAGGCCGTCGCCACCCCAGAGGCATCGAAGGCCCTTGCCGGATTGACAGCCGAGTCGCTGTCCCCTGACCTTATTGACAGGCGTACGTTCGAACGTCTACATATGTTTTTCTTAGAGGTTTACGTCGGGGCTCAGGGCCCCGATGAACATAGCAGCACAATCATATGTGACAGCAATGCGAACCTATAGCCATCTCATGGCGGTGGGTTTCGGAGGAAGGCTGCCCCCTACCTCACAAAAGCGAACGACCTACTAGGTGTAAGGCAGTAGACTTGCGGAAACCTTGGGAATCACATCACTTGGTTTCTAGGGACGTTCCACATGCACAGTCTACTTCAAGCGAAACCTTGGACTCGAAACTCCAACCAGAGATCTCTTACTCCAACTTCGCGCTTGCTGAAGTTCGCTTGGAAGAAACGGTTAGATAGTGTTTGGCACGAAAGCGGGCTTTTCTATCCTAGCAATTACTCATTAGTTTCTACCCAGTCAGCACCGACATGAAGGATTGCGACCAAGAAACGACCAACCCGATGATATGTACTCGGATTCAGAAGCGCTGGTGTTCGCCTGACTCGAAGGGCTACACAGCAAGTCCTCGAAGAAGAGCACGTCCTGAAGCATAGAGGTGGGTTCGTTTCGTAGGTTCTTGCATACAGTGATAGGGGCTAAGCTCATCAGTGCCTCGCTGAAAATTTAGTTGCCAGGCCCACTGAGCCTCTGAAAAGATCACGAAACGCATGCATTTTCCATGCATCGGGTATAGGCTCATGCCAAAGAGGCCTTCTGGAACTTAAGCATCATCACTAAGGTGACCATCACCCCACAAACCCTAAGCCCTACCTCAATCAATAGCAGTTCCCAGTTTATGTTTGTCGGATCCACCACAACCCTAGCAGAATGCCAGCGTCCTGAGATAAATATACCCACAGACACCCATAATCGTAAACCCTATAGGCCCTAGATGCTCCAACAAAGACATGCAACAGGACCGCACGTCATTACGAGCGTATGCATTCTTCCAATCCCTGCCCTAAACCCTAAATCCCCCAGTCCTAAACCACTCAACATAAAACCCCAAATCCTAAACCTTAGCCGCCGAAATCCGCCAATTTGAAGACCTTATGAAATCCTAAACCATATAAAGCAGCAACCTGAACCCTCTCCTGGACGTGCCAAACCGTCGAACCGAGGCTGCGAAGTCGCCATGCTGCGCTGGTGGACGGGGCACGGTCACACTGAGGATACCTGAGATTCAGCGTTTGGCAACGTCCTCGACTCCTAGCGACTCCTAGACCACCTTGCAGAGCAGTGTATTGCCCGAGTGTTTTCCCTGCTAAAGCATGTTGTGGGCTTGTCGAAATTGGTAGCACAGACAGTGCTCAGGTGCCTGAAGTGGACTCCAGTCCTGGCTCTCGCGATACAGAGAAAACCCAGATTGATATGTTGCTGCTGACTGTGATGTCGCACGAACCCCAAATCTGCCGCAAGAGCCCAGACCTTGCGCCTTGAGCCCTTCCACTGCAGTACTCCAGTCTCAAATCAAAATGCCCTAAGCCCTTGAAGCCAAGTTGCTGGAGGTAGCCCGTGGCACAGATGTCGCAACTCGGCCCCGCGAAACCCTCGAAGCCTCGCAGCAAAGGCTGCAGACTAAAGGATGTGTTGCGTTCGATGCTAGGATTTCGGGTTTCGGGCTTTAGGGGTCTGGATTGAAGTCCTGCGGATGGGCTTGGCGTACCAGTACATGGGATCTAGGCTAGGGCTTTGTGTTCGGGCCGGCCCTTCAGTGCCCGGAATGTCGCAACATGCCGCAACGTCACAATGGCGTTGCTTCCGTAGGGCTGCATCAGAGGCGTGCCCGCGTGAAAACAATACAAGCCTGCAGTATGACCCCGGCTACGTATTCAACCTAAACCCATCCCGACGACACTCGGATTTCGTTTCCGCCAACGTGTTCGAAACAGACTCTTCCATGAATATCAGCTGTACCCCCAAACCCTAAAGCCCCTCATGGGCAGGGGGGGGTCTTGACAACTAGAATAGGCTTTCGGGATATGTTATAGCAGAAGGAGACAGGCAGTGACGGGAATCCTTTTTTGAATTATCTATTCCGACCTCCGCTTTCGAAACTTGTCAACCTTAACCCTAAACCTTCAGGCGCGGTTCAGGTGCAGCGGCAGCTTCCAGGCAAGCCCACTGCAGTTCCATGCCCGCTGCAGTGGATAGCGCCGACGCAAGACTCGGGAGGTTTAGGGTTAACTTTCGGCTGCAGGGTTCTGTAGGGCTTGGGGTTAAGAGGGTTTAGGCAGATACTGGACATGAACAACCAGAAATGTAAAAGAAGGGTCGCCGATTGAGAAAGCTTCCACGCATGCGGGCCGTCCAGTTCTGTAAGCTTGGAGCATCCCTCACCATCGCAGCTTTGACTACCTTGACGACGCGGAGATCTTCCTCTCTCCCCGGCACCAACAGCTCCCAAAAGCAGAAGACACGCAATCAACTCCTCACGGAGCTAGGCCCAGAACAGCTTTAAGGGCCAGATTCCGGACAAGGATCGCTGGACCCTGACCCTGCACCCCTAAAGAACCGCTCTAAGCCTCCAAGCTCTTCACCTCACCGGCCGGGCCTGCGGAACCAGCAAGACATCCCAGGAGTAGCTGCCGTTTCCATCGAGCACAGCGCCCTGGAGGTTTGAATACCTGCAGAGCATAAAAAAGACCGTACGAGGCCAGTGCAGGCTTTCGGGCTTCTGGCGGATGTTGTGGGGTTTCGTTTTTGAAGGCGCAAAACCCTTATAAGGCCCCCGAGCCCGATAAACCCGTAAGAACTCTGTAAACCCGATTAGAGCCCCTAAACCATAGCATGGGTTTATGAGTGGGGCAGGGTTGGTGCTTAGGTCTGTTGACCCGAAGGTTTTCTCAGATGTTGACTGAGTTTTTGGTTGCAGGTTTTGATGTAGCGAGAGTTGCCAACGAGTGTAACCACGCAGTTAGACTGAAAGGGCTTTTGCTGTCTAGGGTTGTTGCAGTGACCGCTCATGCTCCCTGCCACGGTCACGATCGGCACTTCCGATACACCGGCTCAGTCCCGGGGCTGGCTGTCCATGTCTGCTTGTATGTCCATTTCTTGAAACAAACCTGGTTGACCACACCAGACTTCGCTAGACTGCTGCATACACTATGCGTGGAAAAGGAGCGTAGACGCTGCTAGGGCTTGCTCTAAAACCAACGCGGCGAAGACACTCTGCTAAAACTTGCCAAATTCCCAGGTCTTCATCGATCGTCTCCAAGGCGACCTGCAGGCGACACTCGAAGAATCAGTTGGGCTCGTCAGAAATTGAATCGGTTGTAAGCTGCGCAAGCATCCCTATCCAAGAACCGCCAAAGTGATGACAGGTACAATTTATCACTCTATTGGCTATTGCTCTCGTCCGTTTCATTGCTACTGCTGCTACCACTTCGACGACGACGACTACCGCGACAGCTGCTGCTGCTGCTACCTAGTCTGCTCCTGCTCCTGCTCTCCCCTTGGTCCTCCTCCTATACTTCCTTTTTACTAGTCCACATCCTTGTCCTACTCCCACTGCACTGCTACTGCTACTGCTGCTGCTACTAACCCTGCAAAACCGTATCCGCGCATTAGAAGTAACATAAACCGTGTTGCATGCGTAATCAGCACGACAGTCGGCCCACACCAAAAAAAACCTACTCCTCTGCTTAACCCAAGGGCCGGGCGTAGGGCTATGCAGGGCTCAAGCCGCATGCAATCCGTCAGATGCTGCTTGCCTCACGGGACATGTAGGCGGGATCTGCTGACTGCAGAACACGCACGCAACGAACTTCCGTGGTTGTCTGCACCTGGCGTGACGGAACATGGCTTGGAGGTCACCGGCCTTTGAAAGAATTTCGTTGTGAGAAGCGTTTCGACTATTCAGCTGGCGGTTCGCAGACCCTGGCATGGTTTCTTTCTGGGAAGCTGAAACACCTCACCACCACCACCACCACCACCACCACCACCACCACCCGCGATATGATCCTTTCGAGCACGATCAAGGCAGACAGAAACCATCCCAGTGGCCCAGCTAGATTTGAACGTCGTGGAAGTCTCTAACCTGGGTCCCAAACCCGTGCATGAATCCTATAACCCTAAACTCTAAACTGTAAAACCTAAACCCCTAAACACCCTATAAATCTAGGCCCGGGGGAAGACCTGGATCCCGATCCACGCGTCGCCGGGAGCGCAGGCAGCAGAAAGGCTGCTAAAGGAAGCCTCACTGAAGTCTTAGAGCGGACCCTGCCATAAACAATGCAAGTCCTGTGGCTCACTACACCCTGAAACCTTCAACCTCAAAGCACACTGTAGAACTTGAAACTAGCATTGTGGTCATCAGCTTGCGCTTATAAGCTCCGCAACAAGCAGGACAGACGCAGCAAAGAGTTTTTTCCGGACAAGGCTCGCACTGGGCAATCCACTGGCTCGCCGAAAGGCGGTCCTCGACGATGTAGCCGTCAAAGGCCAATTCCTTGAATGCCAGTAAGTACAAATTTAAAAACATCGTAACAAAGCGAGGACGGTGATCACTATGTCAGCAGGATTGCTGCTCTTACGACTGATAGTATGGATGAAACAACTGCGACATACCGTGTCAACAAAACATAGACGATGCAGTCGTCGTGGTCGCAGCCGTCCTCACGTCGCCATGCTGCATGTGTTCCTAGTAAAACCATTACGATTGTCAAGATAAGATAAAGGTTGTTTGCGACTATTGACCTCACTATTCTGTGTTAGTAATAGTCGTCGTGCTTCCTAGCAGTCAGCGACTCTCCAATGCCTCCCCTGGCGTCGCGACAAACCACAATAATTACAAACACAAGCACACAACAAGAACAACAACGGCAAGGAAAATTAACACTTGTAGCTTCACTAGTATGATAGACAGAACAAACATGAATGCAAGTGGGCATACAGGATCTGACGACGCTTCGGTTACTTCCTTTACCCTGCTGGTAAATGCCGGACCAGCCATGAGAAGTCCATTCTTTAACACCTTCAGACGGCGACAATGGCACGGCGCTACAATGAAGTCGAATATGGGAACTTCAAGAACTAGACAGGGTTGCGGGGTGCAGTCTCGGATATTCATAGAGGGACCATATAAGGGATACTGTTGCAGCCAAGTTTTCACGTCGTTCCTAGAGTAAGCACTCTGAGCTGCTATGTTGTCGGCAAGATGCCGGGCTGCATTGCTGCTGATTGCCTGAGGCATCGCGGCATTCACAACCTGAGAGGGGCGCGACTTGAGGTGCCACAGGGAGCCAGGGCAGGTATATTCGGGTTCCTGTATTTCCAGTTATTGCCATGGACCCAGACTATGCTGCGACAGTGAGACTATGCCAGAATTACAGTGTGTCAGATTAGTCATTAACCACTGAATTTGCCAAGCATTTTAGTTTCGTGTTTAGGGCTTTGGCCCTTGGTCAATTCGCTCCTATCCGTCAGACAGAGAACGGTCTCCGGAATCTTGGCTCATTACGCCAGGTGGCCAGAGCACTGCCCGGACGCCACAGGCAGGCCTTCAACCTGGCGAGATACTGGGGGGGAGTGCAATTGTAGTATGGTGCTGTTGGGATGATAGAAATGTAAAGTACAGTGGAATATTGTGCATAATCGAACACAAGCATCCAGAGTACTAGCCGCTACTAACCCTGTAGTATTGACTCCAAGGATCCCTTCTTTGGGTCGGGATCTATGCCGAGGACCGGTTTCGAAGTTCGGATTTTGGACTGAAGGTCTCGAGTAGCTCCCTGTCTCTGCATCTCTGTATGTCTCTCCTGTTCTTCGTGCTTGAGTGATTGTGTGTCCTTGTACGGCAGCCTGAAGACCTCTACCGCCTCCATCTATAGGGATCGAATAGTCGAGTAGTGATAACTAACTAGTCATGAAACAGTAAGACTAGTGAGATCAATCACCATAGCGAACACGCGAACACCAACCTTAAACCAAAATTCCAAGCAACAACCATGAACTAGAAAACGTGACCATGAAGAGTTGTTCCGCTGCTCTATCTCTGGAAGCTCGAAGGCCTCAGAGAACATTAGCATAAATCCGGATCCGATCCTGCTATCCCTCTGACAACACCCCTGAAAGGTTGACTGTCCCTCGCCTCTAGGCTTAATCTACACACTTCAAGGATGCCTCCCTGCAATTCCCCGCGGCTCCCCTCCGCCCGCACACCCACCTTCTGTCGACAAGCGATGTCCACGTAGAAAGCCAGCTCGATGACCTTACGACTGGGTTGGCCTTGAACCCTCGCAGACCCCAAACCGGACCATATGTGTAAAGTATGTCAGTATGTAATTTAGCACCCTCTTCGACGTCTCCTAGCCTCCAATCAGATTTTTGTGAGGAGCTCGCGGCTAACTCGGCTCTATTCGGCCTCGGGCTTCAGCTTATGCTTCTCTCGGTTCAGGGACTTTAGAGGTTTAGCGTTGAGCTTAAATGGGGGATTCGAGAAAGTTCAGGCTTAGGGTACGAGGGTTCACGGCCCTTGTGGTTGCGGTTTTTGTTGGGCGGGGGGCCTAGGTACCGAGAGAAACTGCAATCATTGTGCCGGAAAGTTTCTTGCTTTGGATTCTCATCATACTGCTTGCACAGCGAGCCAAATACACCAGAATTATCATTCGATCGTACAAAGAGACCTTCTAGAGTCTAAGTCTACAGTCATTGGGTTTTCTATCTCAGGCAAAAACCTTAAAGCCTCACTGGAATCTTCAGCTGCACTCCAATCTAGTCCCAGTCCGATCCCAACCTGGCTTTGCGGAGTTGTCATGGTAATTTCTTCGGAGCCGCGTGCCACCCGGACTGCAGCTCCACGCGATTGCGCAGACGAAAGGTGGCACATGCCTGTTTGGGCGGGTTGGGGAGATGAACTGAACACTTGCAAGACTTGTTGATGTTGATCACAGTGGGACGCAGATTCTGGAGAGTTCACAAACCAAAACTACCGGCCACGGGCTAGATCCAGATGTCCGAGGATTCGGAAAAATCGACCGCTGGATGTCTTTAATTAACCACGGGATAGTCATGATTCTACTCTACCGCGGACATCCGAAGGGACCGGAACTTGGAGCACCCGCCACAAAGAGAAGCGATAGATAGAGGAATAGCACTATACGAGTATAGCCCCATTCCAGCAACAGCCAGTAGCCACCCGAAATAATTAAATGCCCGTAGACCTTCGCAGACCTTCAAGAGCAAATGCTGAACCCTTAACCCTTGCATGAAGCCTAAACTTATAATTCCTGAGTCCTACACGGTCTTCGAAGTGCAGAATGAACCCTAAACTCATGCAGCTCGCAATCCCTGAAGACCCTATATCCTGAAACCCTGAAGTCCCAAATCCCTGAAGCTCTAACATCCTAAACCAAATCCCTCAAAAAACTGTATCACCGGCCTTCAGAGTGCAGCTGTCCTCCGTCACCGGGACCTCCTCACGGCAGTCCGACGCGTTGGCAGTCCGCGGTGGCCCTGGGCAAAGCCAGAACCCCGCTCTCCGAAAGTCTGCTGTGGGGTTTAGGCCCTACTCGAGGGCTTGGGAATCAAGGTTCACGGTTTTTTCGGGTTTTGGTTCTGAGTGAATGCGCAATTGATAAGGATGCTGCTGCCGAAGCTTCGACCTCAACCAGTAGTGTTCTGCCTGCCACCACCAGTCCTCCTCCTCATCATCCTCCTCCACGTCCACAGCTGCTTCTACTCCGAATACAAAAACTCGTGCTGCTACTACTACTACTACTACTCCTGCTGCTGCTTCTACGACGACGACTACTACTACCAGCACTACCACCAGCCGCCCCCTCCACCGACTACACTTGCCAAATTCGGAGGGCAGTGGCAGCTTCTCGTTACCCTAGCTGCTGCAGAGGCAGAACTTGAGGAGCTGCAATTGCAAACTCGACACGGACGAATGTGCTAAACCCCCAGGCGGTACGAGAAGGTTTTAACAACCTTAAAGCCTGAACCCGAAAATCCTTCAAAACATCTCAATACCAAAAGGTCGGCTCTTCATGAGAGGGGCTCGCTCACCAACACCTCTACTGCCCAGATCTCGGGGCGGAACAGACTGTTTTTGAAGCGGTGTGCGCGCAGGAGTCTCGCTATGATCCTCCCACCCCCGGTTGCAACACTGAATCATACCGAGCGAGCGACCTTTTCGAACTTGGAAACTCGAAACCAAGCCGCTGACTGAAAGATGGCAGGATAGTATGAAAGAGCCGTGAATATCGTTTTAAAACGTAGCTGCTGCTTGGTCTAAGAAGGTTTTGACCACATGTAGTTGGTAGCGGGGTGCCTCCTACTACTTACTACCAGCACTACACTACTACGACGACTACGACGACTACTACTGCTGCTACTGCTTCTGCTACTGCTACAGCAGTACTTGTACTACATTGTTGGCTGCTTTGCCCTCTGTTGAAGTGTCTGCTGCTTGGCAGCGTATGAACCTGCTAATGCTATTTTAAGCTGTCTAAGCCCCCGAAGCCCCACAACCGCAAGCAATACCTCTTAAGCCACGGGCCTCAAAATTCCGAAACCGCCGGCCTCTATCTCCCAAACCTACGATAGAAGCCATGGGCCCTGACACATTAAAGCTCCAAACCCAGCGACCAAGCCGAGTGCCGTTCGCGGCGACGAGCTGTGCTAAGCAGACCTCGTAGGCCGATGGAAAGGTTTGGGGTGTTCGGGCTGAGGGATTTCGCGTTTGTGTCAGGGTTGTTGCTGAAGGGTTCTGGAACAGGTTGTGCAAGATGCAAGCTAAAGCTACAAAGCGATGACAGAGCTCGAAACCCGGATCGCTTTCGTCTGAGTTCAGTGTAGATCAGAGAGGTGCAAAAGAAGTCGTGCGTGCAGAATGGGGATTCCAGGTAAGCTGTACTACAACTGCTTGGAGAAACATCATTGAGTTATCTGAAGCCGTGACATTACCGCTCAAGCCCAGCAGCACACCAATCACATCGCACAAACTAACCACCCAGCCATAAAGAAACCCGAAGCCCCGCACGCATATCCTGCGAGTAACATGGCAAAAGAACACACGCAGCAGTCCACATGCGCATGCATATGTATATGACATGTAACACACCTATCCTGGTGATTGCCTACATATGTAAGCGAAGGTACACGCAGTGAAGCAGTGCTGTTTCCACTCACCGGCATATATAAAAATACAGTACACGTAGGTATTGATGTGTAGTATTTCTTACGTATGTACGTATGTATGCATCGATGGTTGGATGTCGGTGTGTATGTATGTATTGTACGCATGTATGCATGTATGTATGAATGAACGGATGTGTGAATGGATGAAGGAATGAAATGAATGAGTGAATGTATGTATGTACGTACACTTACACACAGATTTGAGCATATGCATATCCACACGTGCTACACCATTCTAGTGATGCCGTATTGTGTTGAATTGCGCTACATGAAGCTGTCTGCGTTCAGTTGATAGCATGAGACAGTATGTCGTAATATGTTTCTGCATCGAGTCTTTAGCATATCATGTCTTGTACTGTGCAAGTATATGTCGTGTATATATATATATATATATATTCTTCTACTGGTGTTTATATATATATATGTGCGTGTGAATACGTATGTGTACAAACATACATATACATGCGTATATAGAATATGTATTTATACATACACATACACATATACATACATACATACATACATACATACATACATCCATCCATCCATCCATCCATACATACATACATACATACATACATACATACATACATATATACATATAATGTGCAGTTGTGTATGTCGAATTACATTCTAATACATTCCATAAAAAAGCATTATATGAAATTGTATATGATAGCACAAGACCAAGACTACATGACGCTGCCTTGTACTCAGAGTGTATGCGATGTTATGCTATGTCAGGCTATCTCATGTTTTCTATACACATTTATGCTAGAAAACCGCAACCGTGATTCCGCAAGCATTCAGGCCCTTATTGGCCCTCCAGCCGTAGCTGCACCAAGGCGCCACGCTGCGCTCCCGCCGCCCGGCACCGCAGCGACCCAGGCAGCCGCTCCATGGGCCCAGGGACCAAAGGAAGAGATCCTTCGAAGAAGCGGGAGGTGACCGAGTAGAGCTCCTGACGCTCTCACCATGTTGCTATCTATGGAGGCTGGGGACCTCCTTTTCGGAGAGTACAGACATTGAGGGTTGCCAGGTGCACAAGCTCAAACTCAGGAATCATGTTTACGAAACCCTACAAACTGAGCTGCCCTGTCGCTCACCCACGAAACCAATTGGACCAGCGCTAAATCCCAAGCCTTTCAACTCGAAACGCTAAAGCCCTGAATCCCTTACCCCCTAACAACAAAAAGCATGCCTTCGGGCAGCGCTCCAGGTCGCAGCGCTCGAGGCCGATCGGGGCCTCTCCGGCACAGACCTCGCTGGAATGCCTGAGCTCTGAGCTGTAGCAGGTACCTTCAGAGGTACCTTCACAGCCTTGACACTCTTGAAGGTGTATGCTGCCATTGTGAGCTTTACAAAAAACCTTGGCACCAGGGGAGTTGGGTTTCGAATGCTTTCGATGGTCTTGGTGCTGCTGCCTAAGCCGCAGCTGCTGTTTCTTGCTGCCGCGCTCCGCCTACTACGACTGCATTCCTGCTGCTGCCGCTGCTGCTTCTCGTTCCTCCTATACTTCTATTCCTACTCCTATTCCCACCCCTATCCCTGCTTCTACTTTTACTTCTACTTCTGCTCGCGCTCCTGCTTCTTCCTACGCCGACTTCTACTCCGCCTACCCGTATTGATCCCCCTATTCCTAACTCCCACTCCTCCTCCTACAGATGCTGCTGCCGCTGCTTTTTAGCTCCTGATATTTCTGTAAATGCTGTTCTTGCTCTCACAGAAGATGTTCTCGTCAGTGCAAACTCAACCGCATGAACCTTCGAAACCCTCGAGCAGCGGCTGTGCACCAAGCAAGAACATTATGGCGAAGTTCGACTGACATGACCGTCAGAAAATCTAGCGGGTCTAGAGGTGTCCTGGCGAATGTCATGTACCGCTGTGGATTATGTTGGGTGTCTTGGGTTCCTTCAAGCGCCTCCCGGTTCAGGTTTGTGGCTGTCGGTGCCGAAAACGACCCCGCAGTCAATCTCCCTTTCTCAGCAGCAAAACAACGTCTTTAGGGTTGACTGAGCTTATGCTCAAGTCGGCCCCTGGGGCTCTAAGGACCCAAAGGACATGTAAGGGGTGATTGCCTACCCGTGAATGCTCAGAGCCCCAGGGAGCCATGCCCGGAACAGGGTCTCATGAACCTGAGGGTGCAAGCGCAAGCCCTCTACGACACGAGCTCCTGCCAGTGTGCGAGCCCCAACAAGCACCCGAGCTCCACCTGAGACCCGATGAAAGGTTTAGGGCAAACTTGGTCCGGTGTCTAGAAGTCAGAATGACCGTCCTTGCGGGTCTCAGGTTCCAAACAACTGCACAGACCTAAAAGCACTTTCGATGGACGATGGTTGGGCCAGACTCGTCGTACTCCCCCTTCGAGATCCACATCTGCTGGAAGGTGCTCAGGGAGGACAAGATGGAGCCACCAATCCAGACACTGTACTTCCGCTCAGGCGGAGCCACAACTTTGATTTTCATTGTGGAGGGTGCCAGTGCTGTCAACTCCTTCGTCATGCGCTCACCGATGCCCTGGAACATAGTGGTCCCTCCTGACAAAACAACGTTGGAGTAGAGATCCTTGCGAATGTCCACATCGCACTTCATGATGGACTGGAAGGTGGTGTCATGGATGCCACTGGCCTCTTCACCATCATTGTGAAAGAAAGCATCCGTTAGTATGCTAGTGGCTAGTAGGCTAATGTAATGCACTTTAAATCTTAAAGCGTTCTAAGAAGCCCTTCTGAATTCCGCTGGCCTCTTTGCCCACAAAGCTCGGCTGGAAGAGAACCTCTGGGCAGCGGAATCGCTCGGATCCCACGGTGATGATGTTGCCATCAGGCAGCTCGTAGGTCTTCTCCTTGTCGCTGCTTTCGCTGGAGGCTTTCATCTCGCTGTCGAAATCCAAGGCGATGTAGCAGAGCTTCTCCTTCCGGGAATCATGTCAAGCACTGAAGTCTTTGGGGTGGCATCCAAACGAATAGAGGATACATTTGCATAGGCAATTACATAAATGTATGTCTGCAGTTGCCTCAGCCCAAAGAAAAGCCGACTCTTACAGAGCCCGAAAGCCCTCAACCCCCCAAGCAACGCAAATACCAGCATTTTGCACCATTTGGTGGCCGAGCTGGGATCAACCTGAAACCCTCGCACCTTACCACGCTCCAAAGCTTTAAAGGGTTCGGTGCTGCAGGATTCTGTAGGCTGGCTTAGGGCTTGAGGTGATAGTACGGGGTTTGAAGGTTTGATGTACAGGGACTTCAAGGCTGTCGGGCTTTCACTAAGTTAAGGCTCTCCGCATGTCAGGCTTCAGGGTTGCCATTCAGCTACACTGAGGTTCTTCTACTACTAGCGGGCAAAGGCTCCTTGACGTCACGCACGATCTCGCGCTCTGCTGTGGTGGTGAAGGAGTAGCCACGCTCCGTCAGGATCCTGAGAATCCGCTTCGTAGAGAACACAAAAACCTCGCAAATAAAAAGCAGTAGTCCTTGAATTCGATTACTGCGCGCTTCTTAGATTGATTGAACTGATGCTTCGCAAAGGGGATACTGCGATGTGAAAAAATATCGCACCAATCGGCACGCTGTCGTTCGGTTGTCGAAGCCAGCCTGGCTTGCAAATCTATGAGACCACCTCGTTCATCTTATAAACGATTTCATCAAAAGTCTCGAGGAAGGAAGCAGGTCCGGACAGCCCCAGCCACTAAAAGAACCAAAGTGCACCCAAACACCTGATCGCACTTTACAGTGTGGCTTCAATCGGGTCTGTATCTATGAATCTGTCTGTCGGTCTGTGTATCCATCGATCTATGTTTCTGTCTATCTGGCGACCTATAATCTATCGATCTATCTATCTGTAAGGATTTTCGAGTTTGAAGTCATTAACATGTACAATAGTATGTGTTACATACTCACTGACTTGTTCATCTTGATAACTATGTATTATATATATATATGTATATATATATATATATATTATAGAGAGAGAGAGATAGAAAGCGAGCGAGCTGCTGCCCACTAGGACTTCGTCATGTAATTCCGACCATAGCCTAAACACCAAAGATAGGCCAGGGTAGCCTGCTTAGGATTGCCATACCACGGCTCTTCTCATATCGTCTAGAACAGCCCCTAAACTGGCTTCAAACCTAGGCCTTGCAGTGCCAGGGCTCTTCATCATGTACTCCGTGAGGTCACGGCCGGCCAGATCCAAGCGTAGGATTGCATGGGGCAGCGCGTAGCCCTCCACAGTCAGCGAGTGTTAAGTGCGGTTTCTTTGCTCAGCGGCTGTTGACGGTTGCCTAAGCTTCGGGGTTGACCATCTGGTGGTAAACCAAGCCTGTCACACCCCGTGAGTCAGACTTGCCTCGTAGATGGGCACAGTGTGGGAGACGCCATCGCCACTGTCCTGGCATGCTTCCAGGATCTTTCAGCAATGACGTGCCCTAAGATGCGAAATCCCCAAGTACCAGCGAAGCCTTGACCTCTCCTCGAAAGCAAGAGGATTGCATCCTGCTTGAAGATCTGCATATCCGAACGAAAGATAGATTCAGATAGATTTGGGTGTGAAAGTAGGCTCACAGCCACGCAAGCTTCATCTCCCTGTGTCTTACTTGAACCTACAACTAACTCTCTGTCTTGCGTTCACGCCCATACAGTCGTTTGGAATACAAATACCTACGAACATCATCGTCGCATGCCTCGCCGTTATCATTCTCATCACCGTAGCCATCATTATGAGTTACAGTCCTCGTCGTCCTCTCCTCTTCATCATCATCGTCACCAACTGCTGCAATGGCAGCGGCAGCACATTCGCCATCAGCTCAAGCATCAGTCGTCTTTAGCCTTCTTCGTCAATGCCACTGCCATTAACGACAGCATCGTCGTCAGCATCACCATCACACCGCTGAATCAGCATCATCACCATCACCATCATCATCATCGTCGTCATCATCATCATAATCATCATCATGATCATCATCACCCGTCTGCAGCATCAGTCAAACCCGTCTCGATAATCATCTTCACACAACAGCAATTCAGCGTTAGAAGGGCTTGGATATCATACGGTTGATATGATGTTGGCTACAATGTTGATTGAATAAGGGGTACCGGGCTCTTTGGGGAGCTGTAGCAGGATCCCTGAAGCAGGCGGTCCATGACGATCCCGGTGGTGCGGCCAGAGGCGTAAAGCGACAGGACAGCCTGGATGGCCACGTACATCGCAGGCACCTGCGCGGTTTCGGACATGGGGTACATGTTGGATTGGAGTGTAAGGCGGGATTGTGGTGTTGGGTGTAGGGTTCAGGCTTCAGGAGATTTTACAGTGTCGGAGGGGATTTAGGCTTGGCAGAACTTTCGTCCGTTCAACTTTGGGGTCATTTCATGCAGAGGCCAGGGCGACTCCCATGGCAATACCAAGGTCCGCAACACCCAAGCTTCAACCCCTGAAAACGTTGCTTTATATCTGGGCCTACAGGCCTTGTGCCCCCCCGCCCCCATTATAGCCCGTACTGAAGCTCTACTCATCTGCTTGACTCAAAGTCCAGCGGCATTGAAGGTCTCGAACATGATCTGCGTCATGCGTTCTCGGTTCGCCTTGGAAGAACAGGCTTGTATCATGGCCAAGAAGGACTCTCGCGATGACGCCGGATAAAAAAGCATGGGCAGTGCAACGCATTCCCGATCCTCATGGCGCCGCCCGTGACCAGCATGACAATTCCTCGAGTAAGCGGCTCCTAAACGTCCTGCTCCCTAAGCTACAACACGCAACCAGGTCACCTTTGGATTCAGCGGTGCTTCAGTGAGGAGCACCGGATGCTCCTGCACAAGTACGAGATTGCCACATAAATGAACCACCACCTTCAGTCCTTCCTGATATTGATGCCAACCGGACCATGCAGAAAGCCATGTGAGTTTAGAAGACTTGTCCGACATTATGGGAGCACAAGAGAGCGAAGGGTTCGAGCTCCCTAAGCATGGCCCACGGATGAATTGACATGCGAGGATCAGAAGCAGAAGCCCCAGCTTCGACAGAAAACGCAGGCGACTCCAAAGCCTCCAACCCACCGAGTGCAGGAGTTTAAGCATCACCATCGATGCTACCGTACACATGGCCATGATGAGATGTGATTGGCTTTCTGGTGCTGAGTACTGTTACTTCCGTGATGGTCATGAAGCAAGAACCCGAGCCATCAGGCACCTCGGGCGCCACGCGCAGTTCGTTGTAGAAGGTGTGGTGCCTTTGAGAGAGAAGCTGGGACCAGACGAATGGCACTTAGAATCTTCTTCCGCTACATCCGGAGCCAAAGTTCCCTATCAACCCCTAAACCCTCCATAAGCCGCCAAAGCCTACTGTATCGAACCCCTAAAAGCCAGCAGCGTTGATGGCCCGAAGGAAGGTTAACCTGTGTCTGAGCCGGGGAGCCAGATCTTCTCCATGTCCTTGGCCAGGGTCTGGTGGATTAGGGCTTGGGGTTTTGGGGTCAGGGCGTGGGGAGTTTAGGGATGAAGAAGTTTAGGCCAGGAACTCCCAAACCGAAACGACAGGCGCTCGAACCAAGACAAAACACTACTATAGGGGCCTTACTTGATAGCATGGGGATGTGGAGGCACTAACCAATTCATGGTTCAGAAGACTGATTATTCAGATCTCGAACACTACTAGAGGCTGGGGGCCCGATTTGACCGCAGGAGCAATGATCACAGGTTCAGAGGCAAGCATCACTAGTACTAGTCATCAGTGATGTGTCATCAGTATCTGGGAAACAACTTCTAATCATCTACTGACAGACTCAAGTGTACCCAGCAGGGTCACGAAAGTCCAGGGTCACCAAAGTTTCGGACTGAGGCGTGAGGCTTTATGGACAAACCAGGGTTCAGAGTCCGTTGCCCAGCAAAGCCCCTAAACTCTAAACCCTCCAACACCGCAGCAGCGTGTCGTCCCAGTTTGTGACAATGCCGTGCTCGATGGGATACTTCAAGGTCAGGACACCTCTCTTCGACTGTGCCTCGGTGGCAGGAGCAGGGAGCAAGGAAGCAGTCATAGCAAACACAAGTAATAAGGACAGCAGAAGAAGAAGAAGAAGAAGATGGTGAACATGAAGGAAGAACATGAACATGACGATGGTGATGGTGATGGCGATGACGAGGGCATGACGATGATGATGATGATGACGATGATGATGATGGTGATGGTGTTGATGACGGTGATGACGGTGATCATCTTCTTCATGGCTGACTGCCTGCACACGCATGATTCGTTCTGTATCTGCACGGTCGTCATGGTCAGCAGCATTAGACCCGTATCAGCCGGTGTTCTGCCATTACAGTAGACGGCCTTTCATGCTTTGGGTATCAGGGGTACTCTCCAATCCCATGTTGTCCAAAAGTCTCCTAAACCCTGCACCTCGAAGCAGCGAACTCTGAAACTCCTCAACCGAAGCGCGGGGAGACTCTGCCCGGCGGTTCTATGAAGCAGAGCCTCGTTTGAGATGTCCAAACAAGGATACTGAAACGAACCCCGCCACCATTAAACACACCTAAACCTTATACCCGAAAGCCACCAAAACCAAACATTAAAACTGCTACCCTACACCCCCTACGCCTCAAATTCTATTCTCGACCTGAAGTTCTAGAACCAGCTTGCCCAGGCGCCTCGTCACCCACGTAGCTATCTTTCTGGTCCATGCCAACCTTACAGGACGTTTAGGGTTTTGGGTCCGGGGGATTTAGGGTTTGGGGTGTTGGGCCTCTTGGGCGTTGGGTTTCGGGGTATCCCTTCGATTCCTCACCAGAAGGTATTTCGGGTTTACTGTAGGGGCCTGAAGAAATCGAATAGGGTTTCGGGGCATAGAAGACTATGCCTGTACTAAGGGCGATTATGGCATACTAATTATTCCTAATTAAGTCTTCCCATTCCTATGCATTAGTTGGCCGAAGATGAGGCCGGGGCCATGATGCCCGGCATCTTTGGTCGGCCCACAATGGAAGGAAAGACAGCGCGGGGGGCATCGTCTCCGGCGAAGCCGGCCTGAGACAGGAGTGAGGCAGGGGCCGGTCTAGAAGGATTACTATACCGGGCAAGTGAAACGGGTCAGGAGGGGCCATCTTGAGATCTTTTCTCGGTTCACTGTTGCAGGGATGTAGTATCGAGGCCTGGACGTTGAACTTACCATGCTTCTTCGAATACTTTCTAATTTGCTGTAGTAAGAAGCTACATACCAAAACGCTATTCTAATTATTATGGCCCTGAAGAAACATGAACCGACTTGGACACCTTGCACATGCCGCTGCCGTTGTCCACCACAAGTGCAGCAACCTCCTCGTCGCCCATGGCTGCAAGGCGGAGTTCACAAAGAGTCGGAGCGTTTCAGTGAAGAGTCTGCGCCCTTGCCTCTGAGCCAGAATAGAGTTTAGAGTGGAGGGTTTAGGGTGTCTGGAGCTAAGGGCCTCGATCCGAATATGCAACCGCAAGGCCTTCATGGAAGCCCTACTAAATGCTCCTGCCCCTTCTCGTGATACAACCAGTTTTCGATACTGTGTATGTTCGACTGCAACCGGGTGCGTGCACCAAGGTCAAAGTCATCGACTGAGAAATTTTTTGGCGGTGGTGTCCTGACTTGGGAACGAAGTTTCGAGCTCCAGCCCAACAATGTCGTTCTCTCTCTCTCTCTCTCTCATGCGGAGCCCTTCCAATAAAACTATCCGTCTCTCTTCTTGCGCTTCTCTCCCAATCCCAAGACCGGATATCGACTAGCCACATCTCCCATTCCCCGCTTGGGGGATCCCTAGTCCCAGTTGGACAGATAAACAGCCTGAAGTCGATCAGCTTAGAACCCAAAGCCACAGAGACAGCATCGCGTGAATGTGCTTGGACCCCTTCCGATTTCTGAAACCTCTCCATCAACGGCACGATAGAGATCAACAGTGGCTATGTTGTTAGGACCCCATCAAAGCCTCCGGCTCAAGCCGTGGAGTCTTGGACTCAGAACACGCCATGCCGCATCAACAAAAATCAACCTCGAACCTTGAGCCGAACAACAAAACCCTATCACTTCAAGCCCCGAAATATGCCGAGCAGCCCAAGTCCACTCGGAAAGCCTCGACAAACCACCTGCAGGCATGAAGAGATTGTTCTTCTTGTGTTCTGAGCTCTGATACGATGGAACGAGGGGCCAGCCCTGAACCTGAATTCCTGCACCCGTTCCGGAGGGCCAGGGTTTGCAGTTTGGGGTTCGGGATTGAGGGTCGAGAGTTTCGGACTTTAGGGTTGAAGGCCCTGATCCCTCGAACCCGCACAGCGCAAAGTCCCATAGCGCTGAACTGGAAGCTCCAACACGTGAAAAGCCCGGCCTGTCTTTCGCGATACACCTCGGCAAGCCGAGCATTATCGGACTTGGATGTTTAGGATTAGGCTGTAATAGGATTGAAAGGTTTAGGGTCAAAAGGGTGTGCGTTCACGGTACAGTCACGAAAAGAAAGTACGGAACCTTGATCTAAGGTGTTGATGTTAGGTTTCAAGTCTTGAGTTGCATCGAGGCTTTCCGGTGAAGCTCGGGCTTGGGGGTTGAGGCTTCGTTGATAGAGAGTTTCAAAGGCTTACAGTCTGAGAGTCTTGGGTCTGGTGCCGTTTACGGTGCTGGATCGTTTGCGGCTCCTCGGGTTGAAGTTGAAGGCCCTTGGGGTGGAGGGTCGAAGCTTCCAGAAATAGAGGCTTCACTCCGGGTTCAGGGTCCGGGACTTGGAGGGTTGGCGTTCTTCCTCGGCTTTAGGGTTCAGGGGCCGTCAGGATCTAAGAATGCAGGGCTTGGGGCTTGGGGTTCGGCTTGAGGAGTTGAGTGTAGGGATGGGGGCCTTGGGGTGCTGACCTAGGGGTTGTGAATCTGTAGGGCATCTGCAACTGTCAAGTCTAGGGTTGCTTTTTCCAGAGTCCAACATGTGTGAGCCTCCCGTTACAGCGCTAAGGGCTTCTGGTTTCTGCAAGTATACCAAGTGAGCGGGGGTTCGCTGTGAACTCTGCATGGCACCTTCACGAACAGAATCTTTTCCGTCATCAGTCTCTTGAGGGGACCACAGACCATAGTCCAGAACGGTGCTGGTGCTAGTACAGGGGAGTGCCACCTAGTCCGTGTAGTTTGTGATCCTGAAAAGAATACGCACTGGTTGAGTGCCTATAAAAAAACAAACTTCAAAGTTCCTGTTTCTGCTTTTCAGTCGCCCAAGCAGCAACATCCTGTCACTCTCGAATGTAATCAGCGGACAGTAAGATTCATCAACCTCTGTAAGTCGGCATTGTAAGTAGTTACGGTCAGTCCAAATTCAGCCCCACGGTCCAAGCCGAGCTGCAGGGTCTGCGCCTTTACAAGTGGCATTGCAAGGCCCGAAAGGCCCGGTCTGCCAAGAGAAGCTGCCTTCGGCTGCAAAGAGCCGCGAAATCGTGCCTGGCTGGCGGGGTCTTGCCTGCACAAGCCCTAGATTCTCCCGAAAACATCAGGGGTATAGGCGCCTAGGTGGCTCTAGGGGTGTTTCGGGCTGTAGGGCTGATGCCCAAAAGCCACTTATAGTTCGGCTGGAGCCGTTTGCAGTTGGAGACACGATGTACAGAATGTCACATGGCAAAGCTTAAATCTTCAGACATGCCATGTTGCAGTTTTCTGGTCGTGTTCTACTCCTGCCTCTCTCTCCGTCACACTGCGTTGAGATGCCTTTTTCATGCGCGGCTTCATGTACCCACATGCATACGTCAATACATACAGGAAACTCATAGGTGTCAGAGGCCACAAAGACACACTTAATCCCAACTCCGACGGACCCGATCCGGCCTGATGGAGCACGGCTACTAAGCATTGCCAGACTGGCGCCCAGCGCATGCAGCAAGACCGGAGAAGAGCCGGAACCTTCTGAGCATCATTTCCGCCATGGAAAATACGATGATTGCTACTCAGGGTCACCACGGTTGATGGAAAAGGCCTGAATGACCTTCAGCACCCTAAACTGTGGCAACTGCGGCGGCGTGTTGCGGTGTTCTGCCTAAACCTTGATTTGTCCAAGCGATGCCGTTTTACTAGGTTTACCACCGAGTATCAAGATCATGCCACCACTGTCCACATCATCACCACAAAAACGTTTGTTGTTACTCTTTACCAGCACCCGTACTGCTCTTCTTGCTGTGGACGTTGCCAAACACGTTTGCATTAAACCGTAACCGCATAGCAGTTCACAGTCTGATGTAATGTCATAGCTGGTCAGCTGGCGGCGAAATGCTCAGGTTTTCATGTCAACGTGTTTGCCTGTGTTACCATTACTGTACCATTGCTTCATGTTGAGGTGTTGAAGATTCAGAACTTCGTGTTTCGGATGGAAGGGTCTGTTGCTAAACCTTATATGCAGAGTCTCGTGGGTTTGACATGGGGGTCATGTTGACGTTCTTGGGAGCGCAAGCTGTCAGGAATGTTCTAAGGAGGTGTGGGGCGATGATCATGGCAGGAGGAACATGCGACTCTTGTTTGTGATGCCTTGGAACATTGAGCTGGTGAATCCGAGCCAAGGCGCCTTCCAGTGCGATGTTCTGCACATGCCTGCCGCAGCTCTCCAAAACTGCTCATGGCAAATCTGTGCAGCATTGAAAACATATAGCGATCTTTTCAAAGGAGCACGAAAGATGAAGCGGCCGCATTTTCCGTAGTTAGGGTGGTTGAAACCTTCTCGAACAGGCTCAAGGAACTTTAATCCCGACGCGAGAAAGGGGACCTTGCCATAAGGAGACATAACTTCAAAGCCCGCTAACCCAGTAACGAAAACAGATTATAAATCCTTAACTCTTAACCTTCATTAGACCCTCAACCCTAAGAAACAGGCCTGAGGTCTCCTGGCTCCCACCAGCGGTAAACGGCTGCATCCGTGTGTGCGGAGGGCTGAAAAGATGCAAAAATAAACCTCGGCCGTAAACTGGGTTCATGTCTTTTTGTGTGATCTAGGGGCCTAAAAAATTAGATAGGGTGTGGGGGGGTATGTTATACCAAAAATTATAATAAGGAACCCCCAAAACCCTGTTCGAATTATGAAGGCCCCTATATCAATAACTCCAATATACCAGTCCTTAAGAGGAACCCGAGGACCACATTTTCGATGGACAAGTCGTGCAAGATCCATGAGGCTTTACAGCACGAGGGTCACAAGCGATTTCTAGGATCTTATGGGAATCAATGGAATTATGCAATGGTTGGCGGTGTAGGGTAACGTAGCGGCATCATCCAGCTCCCGCAGATAAATGCACAAATGTAATGCACTATAATACAGGATGTTTTTTTTAAAAAGAGCAGTAGTGCGAGCAAGGTTGCGGCTTGAGGGTACGGAAGTGTTCCACTCTGGTGATACCGTCAAGGACGATAGCTGAAGACTCGTGTAACTAATGCGCCTGTTCCCGAAGATGTATGAATGAAATCTGTGATAGTCGATGTCAGTTTAAAGCTGTCTTGTACCAGACCCGTCGCCCTAAACCCTCATTCCGTTTCCTTCAAGCTAAACTCAAATTCAAGGCTTAGTGATCCAAGATTCCGGCTAGAGAAGGAGACATGGTTCCTGAGTTCTGCCTTCACGGCATTCGATCTGGTTTCGTCCAGCAAGTTCGCAGCCCCGCTCTCAAAGCGCAGAAACTTCAATATCCCTGAAGAAAGGATCCCTTGTATGAAAGGCTCAAAGAGCACGCCCGAACTGAGGGGTTCTGGGATTTCTTGGACACTGCTTTCGAGACTTGACAACAAATGAACTCAAAACCTTCATTGAAGCCCAGCAGCAAGTCCAGAAGAGACGGAACGTACCTCGACGCGGCGATCCCAAGTTCCCAGGAAAAGCTGGCAAAAGTCACCCGCTTCTCAATCCCTGTGGCCTAAACTTTAAACGACGCCAAAATCATAACAGAAAAACTTGAACCCCAAGCACGCAATCCCCAAAACCGGAAGACACCTAAAACTGGAAGCCATTCAGCGCAAGCCTGCATACAAAAAGAAACTAAGGTAGAGGCCTTACGAGGAATAGTTGGACAAGAGTCTTAGGATTCATATCCTAATGTAACTACGAACCTGATTTAAAAAAAACCTTACCCCAAACTTTCGGGTTCATGCAAAGAACCCCAATAAGACCCAGGGTGTCTGAATCAGGTTCCTACATTGCCTATATTTGCGCTGCAGTAGGCAACGCCAAGGAATGTTGTACAATGCGAAGTATTCAGGCCCTAGTTTGCGTATGTTACGCCGAACTTCACGGAAGCCCGGCTACAGCGCCGCAAGCCGGCGCGTCGGGCCCGGCACGACCAAGGCTGCTGCCTGCTGAAGC